TAGCTACAGTAAGTAAATGTTTTTATAACAACTATCGTGAGACATACTAAATTAACTAAAAATCGCGGGTTACGCACGTGAATAAATTAAACTAGTAGAGCTTTTCTCAGTAAGTAACCCGCGATTTTTAGTTAAGCTACAGTATAGTTATCAATTAGAGGCAAGTACAATTACTGCATTACGAAAACAAAATACAGTTTACAATCAACACACAGATGATAATGTTTTAAACTATAGCTTTTACCAGAGCTGTATTAAACCGAGAGAGCGACTTACGCAAGCTCCTCATAGGCGGCGCTAGATTTTCTTGGCGCCACCGTCACTCTATGGGCAGATACGCGTATCTCGCAATGCACGTCCATAAGGCTCTAAACCTTACTGAGCTAACTCCAACCGCAAATTGCAGTTCCGATACAGTCTGATGCAGTCGCCTCAGGACTGCAATTCAACTGCAAACCAAATGTGCAGTCCGATTGCAATTCAATTGCTTTCATGACCAAACGGTTGCAAACCAAACGAGCAGTCCAATTGCAGTTCTGTTGCAGTCATGACCAAACTGTTGCAAACTAAACGAGCAGTTTGATTGCAGATCAATTGCAGTCACGACCAAACTGTTGCAAACTAAACGAGCAGTCCGATTACAGTTCTATTGCAGTCATGACCAAACTGTTGCAAACCAAACGAGCAGTCCGATTGCAGTTCTATTGCAGTCATGACCAAACTCTTGCAAACCAAACGAGCAGTCCGATTACAGTTCTATTGCAGTCATGACCAAACGGTTGCAAACTAAACGAGCAGTTTGATTGCAGTTCAATTGCAGTCATGACCAAACGGTTGCGAACTAAACGAGCAGTCCGATTGCAATTCAATTGCAGTCATGACCAAACTGTTGCAAACTAAACGAGCAGTTTGATTGCAATTCAATTGCAGTCATGACCAAACGGTTGCAAACTAAACGAGCAGTTTGATTGCAGTTCAATTGCAGTCATGACCAAACGGTTGCAAACTAAACGAGCAGTTTGATTGCAGTTCTATTGCAGTCATGACCAAATGGTTGCAAACTAAACGAGCAGTCCGATTGCAATTCAATTGCAGTCATGACCAAACGGTTGCAAACTAAACGAGCAGTTTGATTGCAGTTCTATTGCAGTCATGACCAAACTGTTGCAAACTAAACGAGCAGTCCGATTGCAGTTCTATTGCAGTCATGACCAAACGGTTGCAAAATAAACGAGCAGTTTGATTGCAGTTCTATAAACGAGCAGTTTGATTGCAATTCAATTGCAGTCATGACCAAACTGTTGCAAAATAAACGAGCAGTTTGATTGCAGTTCTATTGCAATCGTGTCCGAACTACAATTTGCAGTTTGCAGTTAAAATGCGGTTCGTCGAGTCTATAACTTAATCTGGCGCCTTAGGCACTTGTATAGTTTGTCTTAGGTATAATTCGGCTCTGGCTCTCACATACAGAAACTCTATAAGTATGTATTACAAATAATCATGTAAGGTTACACATTTGTACTAAAATCTATTTAAAATATAAAAATATATGAATACAAGTAGAGATTAAAATACTTGTTAAGTAACTGGCTAACAAACATACGGACTAGATGCACACAACTATATATATAAGAAATACTTTATAGTATAGATAAACATGGTTAAATATTCGATTTTTTTTAAGTAAATAGGAAATTATATATAGAGATTTTTATGTTTCACAATAGGGTAGAAGACAGGGTATGAAACTTACAAATCTAATTAGTCCGTCAGTAAGGTAATGAAAAAATATTAGTCACGTATTTTTTATTTTGTCGTATAAGAAAAAAAATACTTAAATAAAACGAATCAAAGTTTAGGAGTGGGAGGTAGCTACGTCATTTTAGAGTATAAATCGTACTAAAAAGTGACGTCATGCAATATTTCAAATCAATATATCTTCGAAACTATTCGTTTCCGTAAGAAAATAAAAAAAGTGTCTAATGTTTTAAATAATCTATCAGACGGACATTGAAATAAATATTTGTCATCTACCCTATTACATTGTAAGGATTTTGTCAAAATATATAAGTAACATTTGATTAATTAAATACATTTCCGCATAATAGTTGTCCTGTGTAGTGTTCTGTATAATACTTCAGATTGTCATGTGATAACTAAAATTTTCGTCTTTAAAAGTCATTATTGTACAACATACTGAATTAAATAATGGTTTACAGCTTACGGTGACTATTATGGGCCCTAATAAAGCTTGAAATACGTCGAGAAATCCCCGAAACAACAACATATGTAAATCGTAAACCATACAACTAAAAATTCAATAATACTTTACGCAACCGACAATACAGATTAGACACAAGTAAGCTACACTATGTGATTATAACAATTCTACATAGGTAATTATATATTTACTTATATACTATGATATCACACTAAACTTGTATATTAAGTAGGTATACACGGCTACATATAACTATGCAAAAACCAGTATAAGATGACCGTTGTGTCTGCAGGAAGGTCATATAAAGTGAGGCCACGATAAAATGGATATTTATAGCTCCACAAAGATATTCAAGACGAGTATAAACTCCCGAGCGTACGGCGCGTCGCATTTCGCGTGCGTTCGGCGCTCTGATTGGCCGGCACCAATGAAGCAACCAATCACAGCGCCGAACGCGTACTCGTTACGATTACTTTAAACGTAAAATATTGCCCCGGGTTACCGAGGCTCCAGCTCGAAGAGCAGCAGAAGGGACGGGGTGGTTTTTAGTCAGTAAGAGTCTGACACTCCCTCTCGCTTAACCCAAGGCGTGAGAAGACATTGGATGATTTTCCCCCCTCAAAAAAAAAGACCAGTATAAACTGGCCGTTGTGTCTGCAGAAAGATCATACAAAGCTAGGCCATGATAAATTGGTTTTGTATAACCAGTATAAACTGGTTTTGTGTAACCAGTATAAACTGACCGTCGAATATGCACAAAGGTCATACGAAGTGAGATCATAATAAAGTGGTTATGTTTAGTTGGATCTGTAACCGTGTTTTCAATATATTACTAGGTATCTTATAATTACTACATATATTGTTAACATACCTTCATGGTCAGACTCATTCTCTTACGGCCGAAGTTATCTAATAACCGATTTCAATTAAAAATTTCAATTTTGCATCAGTTTTATGGAGAGACCAAAACGTATCGATTCACGGACATAGTTATATTATTAAATCATGGATCGATTAATTTTATGATGAATTATTTGACTGATTTAATTTTCGTGGTTGAAACTTAGAAGGTTCATGTTCCTATATATAAAGGTAAAAAGTAAGAAAATACGGGATATCCAGTAAATAGTGCACCATACTGGTCATCAACCCTATTTTTTTCGGAACGAAAACACTTAACTCAGTGGTTAAGCCGCCAATAAAAGACGTTACGGCGTTTAAAAGAGAAAAAATGCTATAAAGTAAATGATTAAGAGTCTTTAAATCTAACCAAAAAAAAAAGTTTTTTTTTTATGGAATAGGAGGCAAACGAGTGGACAGATCACCTGATGGTAAGCGATCAGCGCCGCCCATGGACACCCGCAACACCAGAGGAGTCACAGGTGCGTTGCAAATTATTTTAATATAAGTTTTATAAACTTAAAATAAACAATTAAAAATAATGCGATCAAATTAAAACAACGTATAATAACAATAAGCAATAATGATAAATTAAATTAATACAAAATCACTGTCAGTATACTAAAACCTTAGAAACGTGAAAATATATCTAAAATAAACTAGACAACTTTAACAAATTATTTGTATTGTAACTTTCGTGAGACATACTAAATATATTATTATGTTTTCGGCTTACTCACGTAATAATTTGACGAGGAACTCGACTGCGTGCGTCGACCCGGGATTCGAACCCAACAACACCAACGCAGCTGCCGGCGGGCGAGTCTAGCGTGCCAACAGTGCCGATACCACGAAGAAGAAAGTGCGCGTGAATCACGGCAGAGGGCGCGCTGGGCCCGCAGACTCAAGTAGCCAGTAGCAGCGACAGTCGCCGCGTCGCGGGTCGCGAAATGCTGCTAATGAATATGAGCCTCTAGTATGGCTTGAAACTAGTCGAGCTCCTCGTCAAATTACTACGTGAGTAAGCCGAAAACATAATAAATTATTTGTGTATAACACTTGGGAGCAAACAAACGGAGCGTTGTATATTTTATACCGACTTCAAAAAAAGGAGGAGGTACTATGTTCGACTGATTGTTTTTTTTTGTTTGTTCGCGCAGTACTCCGCCATTTGTGAACCGATATCGAAAATTCTTGTTTTGTTTGAAAGGGTATACTCCCGAGATGGTCCCATTTCCATGTGGTCAGGATCTGATGATGGGATCTTAGGGAAACCGAGGGGAACTTTCGAAAATTCTAAGTGCGAGTAATGCGTCTATTATGTTTTTTAAAATACTACAATTTGATAAGGGTCTGGAGTCGACCTGATGATGGTGCCCACACTCCTTTTCATCTCACCCAAGGCGGGAGAACTCATCTGACAATTTTACCCCTTCAAAAAAAGTGACTCCGGTTCTTTGCTCCCACGTGTATTATCAAGTATCAACAATAATATATTCTTTGACTTATTTTGGGGACAGCCTATATGACGTAGGTATATGTATAATTAAGAATATTTATATTGTACTGTACAGATCTTGTATGTGTTGTATTTAATGTGTTTTCGGGGTTAGTGGACATGTTGAACTTGATACCAAACTGTATGCTTCTGAAGTAAGAGTAACGATGGAGTTTCTTGCTCGTTCTTCTCCATTCATAACTACACTTAGGAACGAGCGCCTAGCTTCACTGACAGACAGACGGAAGGAGAATTGGCTGCGGTGCAACGTGTCGCGGGTTCGATTCCCGCACGGAACAACACTTTGTGTGATCGACAAATTGTTGTTTCGGGTCTGGGTGTCATGTGTATATGAACTTGTATATTTGTAAACGCACCCACGAAACAGGAGAAAATCCTAGTGTGAGGCAACGTTTTATTAAAAAGAAATCAATCAATTTAAATGTTTGAAAAGTACCTAATTGAGGATTAATTTAAATAAATGCTTTGACTTTGATTTCGAAATGGTTTTTGCCTGTATTTAGTCCACTACACGCCCACTAAGTAACAGTTCCCCGTCAGTCGGGCGCCGCCCAGCTGTCGTAGACATGTTGCCAGTCTATGTGTTTGAAGAATGGATGACGTTTGATCTCCTCGACGCCGTCCTTGCCCGCGCCCAGGCGTTCTGATGGCTCGTAGGTCAGGAGCTGAAATGAGATATATAGAGTTAAATTGTGTTTCTTGAATCTACACTAATATTATAAAGCGGAAAGATTTGAATTTTTTGTTTGTTTGTTTGAATTGAATAGGCTCCGTAAATACCGGATCGATTTAAAAAATTATTTTACCGTTGGAATCCTAAATTATAAGTACCTTATGAACAAAGGCTACATCAATATAGATAAATAAAATTGATGGTTCTGTTTCTGAATATACCTCTACATACGATACTTAAACCAAAATATTTTTGTTTACAATTTTTGTCTGTCTGTCTGTTTGTACTGGCTAATCTCTGGAATAGCTGGACCGATTTTGCAAGATTTTTGTTGGCAGGTAGCTGATATACTATTATTTTGGAAAATTGAAACAAAAAAAAATATATTTTAAAATTCATATTCTACGCGGACAAAGTCGCGGGGATCAGCTAGTGTGTTTATATAAGTTTTTTTTTGGGAATTAATTCACATATTATTGTGCACAATATTGTTCAGCAATGGACGAACAAATAAACTTCTACTTGATGCATACAATTTGATAAAACCCTTAGAAAGCTTGGGCCTTAGAAAGTTGAAAGAAAATACGACAAGATAGTCGTCGTTAAAAGGATATTCAATAAAAGTTGGTCGTAGTTAGAATGAGGTTGTAGACAAAGCTAGTATCGAATAAACTATAGAAAAATACTAATCAGAGTAATAATTAGAATCAAAATAAACGGCACACAAACGCAAAATAAGTGATCAAAACAAAAAAAGATTGAAAAGAATTTTGTAAAACGCAAAAAGAGATGTGTGGCCCATGAGGGGATCGAACCCGCGACCTTCGCGTTATTAGCACGACGCTCTAACCAACTGAGCTAATGGGCCGATGCTGAAAATGTCGAAATAGGCAGAGATGTGATTTATTTGAAATACTTCTATTTTAAATGCAAATAGAAAATGCAAAATACCTATTTTGTATTTTGTATTTAAATACCTTTCAGTGAAAAGTATTTTGTATTTTATTTGAAATGCCTTTCGAGATGCATTTTGTATTTTTAATATTCATTTCAAAACGCAAAATACTTTGTGATTAAGTTTAGCTAACATTACCAGTCAAACAAAACAAAACACTTGTATTGCCGAATTCGACCGATAGAGGCGCCTGCTAACCAGGCACGACATCTTTTTCTTCTTTGGTCAGAGTGCGCGCGCGCGCGCCTTATGTCAAGTAATGTCTGACAAGTGTCAATTTGAAGGTCTGACAAGACCTCACAGAAGAAAAATGAATGATGATGTATTCGAACAACTGGTATTGTTAAAAAGCGTAATCAATAAAAAATGATATTTATTTTTATCACTTTTTAACAATACCAGTCCAGTTCCAGTTGTTATTAATTTTAATAAGAAAAGTGTAATCATATGTAATGTGTTATTAGACGTTTGTTATTCGGCTCGGCATTGTGTGTCTCTTTTGCTCATGTATGATAAATAAATATGTACCTATAATAAATAAAAATATGTATCTGTAATTTCGTCAGGGGGTATTTTATTTTGAAAAAGTATTTTGAAAATACCTATTTTGCATTTAGCATTTGAAATACAAAACGCAAAACTATTTGGTATTTTGCATTTGAAATAGTAAATCTGAAAAGTATTTTGCATTTTGTATTTAAATGCTTTTTTAAAACCATTTTGTACATCTCTGGAAATAGGGTACCACATCTCTAGACCTCTTCAGTATGCCTTTGTAAAGATAAATTTCATGGACATTGATACAAATGTAGGTATTTATAAATAACTTTAGATAATAGTACATTTTACTAAGTGCTTGATAAACAAATACATACAAAACTATAGACATCATTTATCAGTATTTTTAAATATATAATAATAAAATTTATTCAAAAGTATTAATAGACCTAAAAAATCAATGAAATATTTAGTAGAACGTACTTCGAATTACTAAAACAGACTAAAGATAAAAAGAAATTATTCTAAGGCTTAGCAAAAAGTCAACGTCACGTGGTGTTCCCAGGCGGTCACCCATCCAAGTACTGACCGCGCCCGATGTTGCTTAACTTCGGTGATCGGACGAGAACCGGTGCATTCAACATGGTATGGACGTTGACGATTGCTAATTTGAATTTTGAGAGTAGTATCAACTCGATAGTCCATACATAGATAGTTGAAGTATTCAAAAAGTTTGAATGCCGAATATCTAGATAACACAGACTTACTTTTATCCCGGAAGCGAGGAATTTTTAATAACACATTTAAATATGTGAGAGTCATGCTTCGGCACGAATGGGCCGTCTCGACCAGGGTGATACGACAGCCTAACCGGGTTACCGGAGGCCCAATTACCCCTCCTCCCATCCCCAAATCGCCTTTAATGTTCCAGGTGTCCACGGGTGACGCTGATTGCTTACCATCAGATGATCCGTCTGCTCGTTTATCGGCTTATCCCATAAAAAATAGGCTGATTTTTATCCGACGAGAAGTGGGAAAAGCTGCTAACAGAAGCTAATAGTATAAGAATAAAATGATGTATTGTGCATACCTGTGTGAGAATGGACTGCGTCTCCAGCGGTAGTCCGTCAGGTAGCTGCAGGATGGTGTGCGACGTGAACAAACTGCCGTGGTAATGGGACAGCGGCTGTACGAAGATAATTAAATAAAAATTATTTATTTTAATGTCAAAGTCAAATATTTTTATTTATTTAATTTTAAGCCATGGTCGTCCCTCTGAAAGGCGAAGGCCTCCCTACCCTCCTTCCACTCATCTCTTCTTAAAGCTTTCTGTGGCCAATCCTGCTCATAGGCGTCAAGCATATCCCCGATCCCACCATCTCCTTCTAGGCCGAACGCGCGTACGGATTTTAGAATTTTTGTCTGTTTGTCTGTATGTATGTCCGGGATGAACTCAAACAATGCTGTATGGATTTACTTCAAACTTTGCATGAATATTACTAACAGATCGGGTCAACATATAGGCTACATATTATTACGCTATCGACTACGCGGGAGGAGCTGTGAATCACTATTCTATGCAGACGAAGTCTCTGGCTCGGTTAGTATCTTACTAGTTCACTAATTAATGATACATTGACTGTAAGATAATGCCTTAAGGCATTAAGTCCGCCATTCACTGTATTTTGTGAAGAAGATAATAAATAAATAAATAATGTCAAGTAATACTCACGATCCCACAAACGAGCTCATACAGCACAGCTCCGAAGCTCCAGTAATCACAAACATGGTCCAAGTCGGGCGTCTCATCCAACGTGTTGGTATATATCTCGGGCGCTACATGGGGGCGCGGCGTGGAACCCGGCCGGAGTACCGAGACCCGCATGTCCGAGCCCGGGTAGTACTGGAAGTAGGTCAGGATAACCTGGCCACGGTCGCCTAGGAGAATGTTTGAGGGGTTCAGGTCTCTGCGGATGGAGAAGTTTTCTTTAGTATTCAGTTTAAGATTAGTGAGTGTGTGTCTAAAATGTATAAAATTATAAGTGTGGGAGAGCCATACTTCGGCACGAATGGGCCGGCTCGACCGGAGTGATACCACGGCCGAGCAGAAAACCGACGTAAAACAACGCTTGCGTTGTATTTCGTCGTGTGAGTGAGGTTATTACCCCAATTACCCATCGCGGAGAGCCTAACGGGTAACCGGGGCTCCGGCTCGACGTGCAGGAGAAAGAACGGGGTGGTTTTTAGTCAGTAAGAGTCTGACACTCCCTTCCGCCTCACCCAGGCGGGAGCAGTCATTCGATGATTTTCCCCCCTTAAAAAAAAACCCCAATTACCCCCCTCCCTAGTCTACCGATTCCCCGAATACTCCACAATCCTTAAATTCCCAATTCCCAAAAGGCCGGTAACGCACTTGTAACGCCTTGGTGTTTTGGGTGTCCATGAGCGGCGCCGATTGCTTACCATCAGGTGATCCGTCTGCTCGTTTACCGGCTTATTTATGTTATAAAAAAAAAACACAAATTCATCTAATACCTTTGAACGTGCAATTCTTGTCAACGCTAATCTCGGAGTTTATTAAAAAAAACACCGAGCTAAGCGCTCGGTTATCCAGGGACTAATTGCAGAATACATTAGTCACCATCTTCTCACGCGGGTGTCGATTGGGTACTTATTTAACAGAGACCGGACAGTAGTTTCCTGCCTGATAAATCAGATCCTACCAACACTCATGTCGAGCGTCCAGCAGTGGACTTCCGTTGGCTGTTCATGATGATGAATAATTTTTACAAAAAGTAAAATTAATGTCTAATTAAGCAAAAAGTCAACGTCACGCGGTGTTCCCAGGCGGTCACCCATCCAAGTACTGACCGCGCCCGATGTTGCTTAACTTCGGTGATCGGACGAGAACCGGTGTATTCAACATGGTATGGACGTTGACGATAAAGATATCGAAATTCTCAACCGGTTTACGTGGGACAGCCATGCCTCGGCATTGTTATGCCGATTTGACCGGAATGATACTACGACTTTACAAAACCGTATGACACAATATCCTATTGTGTGAGTCCGGTAAGCTGAGTCTCCCTTAAAGACCCGGCACTTGTAACTTTTCTGATGTTGCCATGGGCGACACAGATTACTTACCTTCAGGTAATTTGTCTGCATGTTTGCCGAAATATGCCATAATAGTCACTTAATCTAAGTGTGGGAGGGCCATGCTTCGGCACGAATGGGCCGACTCGACCGGAGTGATATCACGGCCTCACATATTAACCGGCGTGAAATAACGCTTGCGTTGTGTTCCGTCGTGTGAGTAAGGTTACCGGAGGCTCAATTACCCTCCCCTTCCCCAAAATCCCCAATTTCTGAATGCCCAACAATCCTCAAACTCCTAATTCCTAAAAGGTCGGTAACGCACTTGTAACGCCTTGGTGTTTCGAGTGTCTATGGGCGGCGCCGATTGCTTACCATCAGGTGATCTGTCTGCTCGTTTAACGGCTTATGCTATAAAAAACAAATAATAATTCATGTAATAGTATATCAATGAAACCAGCGACCCAATATGTGGAGGAATTGATTTAAATTTTTTTCAATCGGTAGGTAGTCAATACAGACTTAAAACATTATGTATTATAACTTTCGTGAGATATACTAAATATATTATTATATTTTCGGCTTACTCACGTAGTAATTCGACGAGGAACTCGACTAGTTTCAAGCCATGCTAGAGGCTCATATTAACTAGCCGAGTTCCTCGTTAAATAATTACGTGAATAAGCCGAAAATATAATAATATATTAAAACATTATATAGTCAGTTAAGCAGTACCTGCATATAACGCCGGCGTTGTGCAGACAGTGCAGCGCGGTGAGTATCTCGGCCGCCCAGCGACACACCGCCGCCGCGGGCAGCTCACGCCCGCCGCACGGAGACTGGGACATACAGACAAATACATATTATCAATGTTTCAAATCAAATCATATCAAATCAAATCAAATTTATTCGCAAAAACATGTGTATACATACACACACACACGCAGGTTTTTTCATTCAATTATCAATCTTATACCATTGTATCTCCTGGTCTCTGCCTCGCTTGCTGAGTGGTCGCAAGTGCAAATAAAAATTTGTTATCTACCCTGTGCCTTTAGCCAAACGCCACTTTAGCGCTTCTCTACAGAGAGAGTAGAAATCAAAATGTATGGGGATGACACTGACAAGTGTCAAAATTTACGTCAACTCCATATAATTTGGTTTTCTATTCTACATGTAGACATGCGCTAAATGGCATTTGGCTACAGCTGCTGTTCTTACCATTCTCTACAGCCTGTCTGGTATATTTATTTAACTCTTGTTTATTAAAGTAAACAAAAGAGTAATATACAGAAGAAAAAACAAAAAATTAAAAATTACCAGCCATAATTTACAAATAATCATTAGGTACACGTTATATTCCGAAACGGTCACCCATTTGAATTCAGAATGCGTCTAATATTTTATTATAAACAGCTTTGCTATCTATAATCCATATTTGAATTTACTCTTCTATTTCAGCTCAACAATCGTCAACGTCCATACCATGTTGAAGACACCGGTTCTCGTCCGATCACCGAAGTTAAGCAACATCGGGCGCGGTCAGTACTTGGATGGGTGACCGCCTGGGAACACCGCGTGACGTTGACTTTTTGCTAAGCCTTAGGTTTCATTTTTTTATATTTAATCTGTTTCAGTAATCTGAAGAACTATCTGCTAATAAAAATCCTGTAAGTATCAGTTCTGTAGCTTTTTTGAGTTTATCTCGAACAGATAGGTACATGGTGTGACATGATTTTATCTTAAATATCAAATAATTATATTTAAAATATTTTTCTTATTTATTGGGACAAGCCCGCCACAACCTCCCAAAACCGCTGCAACTCCTGTAAGCCAGGAGCCATGAGCTATAGTAGATATAACCATGAAAACACCGGAACACTAAAGTCTGGCGCGTCCCAGGAAAATGACCAACTGTCTTGGTTCCCGCAACGAAATAGTTCAGAAGATATTATAAGAGAAAAAAGATAGTTTCCACTGCCCTCGGTGAATTTATGCAGAAACAGAATGAATTAAGCCTAAAGGCACGAAAAGAGACTGGACAACTGGGAGAAGTCCAGTCACCAAGCACCACGGAAATTTGACTGAAAACTAAGTGGGTCCTATGTGTGAACTGTTATTATACTTGTTTACAATAATATTTTGAATATGAAAAACATAACATAACATCACGCCTTTTTATCCCCGAAGGGGTAGGCAGAGGTGCACACGGAAGTAACACCCACTTTTTACTATTTATGTTATGAGTCCCACGTAATAGGGGGTGACCCTATTGCCATATACCGAGCACATTTCCAGACTCCGTGCTACAACTGAGATTTATTTTTAAAAAACCCAGTAATACTTTGCCCGACCCGGGTATCGAACCCGAGACCCCTTGCTCGGCAGTCGCACTTGCGACCAACGAGTCAGTCAGTCAGTTGAATATGAAAAACATAACATAACATCACGCCTTTTATCCCCGAAGGGGTAGGCAGAGGTGCACATTATACTACTGTACAATGTAACACCCACTTTTCACTATTTATGTTATGAGTCCCATGTAATAGGGGGTGAGCCTATTGCCATATACCGGGCACAATTCTAGACTCCGTGCTACTACTGAGAATATTTAAAAATATGAAAAACTCACCCTTTTAATGCTAGGAGTAGTATCACAAGCGTTATCAACCTTACAATCGCCTTCACTGGTCGTTACCTCAGCCGATGACTCGCACAGAACTTTATCAACATTTAACAGCAGTTTCTGGGAATTCAACACTAACTCGTTGACAGACAACTCTTTATTATTATTCGTTGCCTCTTCAATGTCGCAATTGTTGTCATTTTTCTCAAAATTCTTATTTTTTGGTTCTGTGAAGACATTTTCTAAGTTGACTTCTCTAGCCGGTGTCGTGGGTAAGGATTTTGAGTAGTTCTTGATGTATTCGAAAAGCTTTTTTCCCGGAGCGTAGGATAGTATTAGAAATATTAAGTTGTTTGTTTCTATGTACGCTTGTAAGGGCACCATGTATGGTATAACTGTTGGTAGGACCGGCTGTCGAGTTTCATTCGTCCGTTGAAGGAAGAATTCGTCAAATTCTGTGAGATTGTTCGGTATTTTTTGGATCACCTGTAAATGAAAAAATAGTTTTTAAAACATATCAATTAAACTGTCAAACACCGAGCGGTCACCGGTGACCGCAACCTATTGTTCTTTAATTGTGTCTATAAAACCGGTACTCGACGAGTTAACTAGCTTGTACCAGCTGTTTCCGTGGGATAATAAAAAGCCTATGTGTTATTCCAGACTATAATAATATCCTTGTTCCAAATGTCATCACGAGCCCTTTAGCCGTTCTGAAATGATTGAGTAACAAAAATTTACACAAACACAAACTTTCACATCACATTAATATTATAAACTAGCTTCTGCCCGCGACTTCGTACGCGTAATCCCATTTTTTCCCGTCCCCGTTCGTGATTTTCGGAAAAAAGTAAAAAAAAATTTGGTTAAAAAGTATCCTATTTCGGTTTCCTGGCTCTAAGCTACCTCCCTACCTATTTTCAGCCAAATCTATTCTGCCGTTCTTGAGTTATAAGTGGTGTAACTAACACGACTTTCTTTTATATATATAGATGTGTTTCTTTGTTCGGATGTTTGTTCGTCAATCACGCTGAAACTACAGAGCGGATTTTGAAAAAACTTGGTATACAGACAGGGTATGGGCTGACTTAGGTGATAGGATTTCTATCCCAATTATGTTCCCATGGGATAAAACAGGAATCATATTCTACGCGGACGAAGTCGCGGGCTACAGTTAGTTTCTAAGATTAGTAAAATTATTAAAAAGTAAATCCATTAAAAATCTACATTATCAATCAACAGTCTCATTTCATTAGGACGTGTCTGTCCAACTGTATCAACATAACAGTGAAGATGAGCCTAGACGAGTATTTCAGCTCGACAATCGTCAACGTCCATACCATGTTGAATACACCGGTTCTCGTCCGATCACCGAAGTTAAGCAACATCGGGCGCGGTCAGTACTTGGATGGGTGACCGCCTGGGAACACCGCGTGACGTTGACTTTTTGAATTTTGATCCAGTTGTTTTTAATATTGTGACCTGGCCATTAGCGTTTGACTTTTTGAACTGTATTATTTACGCGCGAGACGACGTCTATAATCTTTAAAAAAAAAATACTCGGATGGTATATTTTTATACAACTTGCGATAGATTGACACATATAAGACTCCGTCAAATAATCACAAAGAAGTAGTTGATGATAAGATGTCTAGGGAAATTGTAAGGAATGCAGTTATCTCGACTACCATTTACTAATAACATAAAAGAAGAAGATAATCTTCGAAATTACTGGATCGATTTTAAAGGATCATTCCCAATAGATCCTTTTTATTCCCATATCAGCATCGAGTCATCTTCTAGATTTATCTGATAAATTCCACGCGGGTGAAGCCATAGGTGCTAAGTTAGTTGAAAATAACCGTCAGTATAATCTTTGGTAAGCGTTTATCTCTGTAAAGATAATGCGACCTACTGACATAGTATGAAGTTAGTAGATTGAAGAATACCAGCTAATAATTTGAATATTCGTTATTTTTTTTTTAAATAAGGTCTTAATATAATATTATGTAGGTCAGTGTTTATAATTATCGTGTGCTATTATCGTAATAACATAACACTAGTTTTATTTTTGGCACGATTGATAAATTTAAGTGTGAATGAATGATGCTCTTATCGCCGCCGACTGCCGCGCATTGTCGCTCATGACTATGGGTCCCTAGCGTTGCTCGAAATTAGTAGAGTTATCCCGACAAACATTTGGGATGATGACAGGGTATGAAAATTAAAAATCTAATTAGTCCGTCAGTTAGGTAATGAAAAAATATTAGACACGTATTTTTTTATTTTGTCGTATATTAAAACAATACTTAGATAAAACGAATCAAAGTTTAGGAGTGGGGGCTAAAACATCATTTCTACGTATAAAATGTACATAGAAGTGACGTCACGCAACATTTCAAATCAATATATCATCGAAAGTATTAGTTTCTGTAAGAAAATAAAAAATTCGTGTCTAATGCTTTAAAATAATCTACCAGACGAACATTAAAATAAAAATTAGGCATCTACTCTATCACAATATTAAAGTTGGGAACATTATTACCTAGAGAAAGTTGTAGATTGTAAGTAGATGTAGTGACAAGGATTGAAAAGGAAATGTTACGGTGATTTGGACATGTAGAAAGGATGCATGAAAGCAGATTTACGAAAGAAGCATACAGAGCGAATATTAATGGCACAGTTAGTCTTAGACGGACATACAATATCGACCATATTGGCGATATATTTAAGGATCAAAATAAAAGTACCCTTAACCAACAAGCATATATGAAAATACGGATGATTGTTAACCCGTCGAGCGTCCGCGTTCCTTATGATCCAACGGGTGCACACGTGACATTTGGAGAAATAAAGAAAGAAAATGCATTTATTTGGCCATTGGCACACGAAAACAAGGATCATTACAATAGAAATAAAAAATACAGTCAAAATAAAAACAAAACATTAATAATAGATTTTATAAAAGAGAAAGCAGCATGGAGAATTTTTTCTTATGATCCACCGGGTGCTCATAAGGACGCTCGAGGGATTAAGTAAAGATGTATGTAAGGATCGTAGCAATTGGCGTTCCATAGTCTGCTTACACCGCTGGGAGAAAGATGTGAGGTTATGTATGTACGTACCTTCATGGCATAGTAGGCTTGTTCAGTCCGGTGTAGTACGAGCATGATGCTGGAGCCGAGTATATCAAGTACTCTGTACAGCGCTAGTTCCTCGTACGGCCGTCGTAGCATGGACAGCGGGATCGGACAGTGAAGGGGACGGAGCGGCTCGTCGCGTTCCGGTAGTAGCTGCGAATTATTGAAAGACTTATTAGTACTCGTTTTTTTGGGATTAAAAAGCCCGGCTCAACTTTTCAAAACCGCTGTAATTCCTAGAAGATACAACAATGAAAACACTGAAACGATGATGTCCGGCGCGTCTCAGGGATAAACTTCCCAAAACCGCTGGAATTCCTGCATAGAATCTATAGAAGATACAATCATTAAAACATTAAAACAGTGAATTTCGGTGCGTCCTTGGAACATGAATACCTGTCTTGGATCCCGAAACGAAATAAAATCAGAAGATTATATTAACGAAAAATCACGACGGCGATGTCGCCGCAATCGCGAATTCTGCTCATGAGGAAGAGTCCCTCTGTGACTCGAAACTAGTAGAGCTAGCTTTTCTCAGTATATTTACGTGAGTGACTCGTGATTTCAAGTTAATTCAGTATGTCTCACGATAGTTATTATAAAAACAAATCAGAAGATATTATTAGAGAAGAATAAAATAAATAGTTAAAGCATGTTTTATGCTTAAAAAGGTTTTACGCTTGCTGCGGTTGGCATCATTTGTCACTTTAACCCCACCCTTAACTATAATTTTTTTTTTCAAAGCAATAGTTAACTAATCCTATAGAATAGGTGTTGGTGTGACGAAACAATGTAACCAAGAATTGTATTGTGAACATGATTGAAAAAGAATAACCTATGAAGTTTCTTGCTCGTTCTTCTCCATAGGAATCTACACTTTGGAACGAGCAAATAGTTTCACTAGAGGACTGACCTACAGACTAACATTTTTGCTTTAATATTTAAATATTTTGTTTTGACGTTCAAAAGTGCCTTCTTGGTCTAATTGAAATGATTTTGACTTTGACTTTGTGTTATAATACTCACTGTTTGTTCAGTATCACAGAGATGGTTCTTGTAGATCTCCTCGGCGTACGAGAGGTACTTGTTCGTCTTTTCCTTGATCAGCGCCCGCCGCTGTGGGTCCGTGTCATCTGTCAACAAGAAACAAATTAGTATCCGATTAATCTATTATAATCCGTACGTAATGTATGGATTAAACTTTTGTCTGTGCGTATGTATATGAGTCATAATAGAAAACACGATGTGTCTCGAGTAGTTCTGCAGTCCAGCATACTACGGGTTAATCGCGGAATTCGATATTTTTTTATGGCAAACTAAATGTTGCACGCGACTTAGTCCGCGTAGAATATGGATTTTAGAATATAACGTTTTTTTCGCTTAAATCGATACAGCCATTCCAGAGATTAGCCAGTACAAACAGACAGACAAATAAATAAATGTAATAAATATTTTGGTATGTGTATCATCATACCTATGTATATTCATATGCATGTAGTAAAAAGCGGTTATTTTAATATTACAAACAGACACTCCAATTTTATTTATCTGTATAACTATGCAATCGGCATCGCCCATGGACTACTACTAAATCATAAAAATTACAAGTGCATTGCCAGCATTAATTGTAGAGCTGATCTCACAAATCGATCCCAATACAAAAGGGTTTTATTAGGTTTTTATTTATTTAGAGACTAACGCTCGAAGCGTAAAGCCTATTCAATTTTAAATTGTACTTAAATATATTGCCATCTCTGTCATTGTATGGAATTTAAAAATAAAATCGTTAATTCTCACGTACCATAATATTAAAATTGAGATAACACGCCAGATTTTTAATAATTTTTACGCCGAAATGCCAAAAAATACAAGTAAAACTTTTGTGCCCTATGGAGGTGGTGCACTATTTCGGACGTTCTATCATCTGTCAGGATGGCCGAGCGGTCTAAGGCGCCAGACTCAAGGTTCCCTTGCTCACTGAACGTGAGTTCGAGTTGTTCTGGTCCTCTCTGAGGGCGTGGGTTCGAATCCCACTTCTGACAAAACTTTTTGACATTTTTATTGAAATTTTTACTTTAAAGATAACATAACATAACATCACGCCTTTTATCCCCGAAGGGGTAGGCAGAGGTGCACATTATGCCACTGTACAATGTAACACCCACTTTTCACTATTTATGTTATGAGTCCCATGTAATAGGGGGTGAGCCTATTGCCATATACCGGGCACAATTCCAGACTCCGTGCTACTACTGAGAATTTTTAAAAACCCAGTCATACTTTGCCCGACCCGGGAATCGAACCCGAGACCCCTTGCCCGGCAGTCGCACTTGCGACCACTCGACCAATGAGGCAGATCTTTTTGGGTAATCTACCCACCGAACACATTTGAAAAATATTTTACCTATTATAATTTAATTTGGTTGCTGAAATGCTGTATAGGTAAGTACATAATTATATTACTTACGCTCGAATACTGAAAGGCTACTCTACATCTCTATCATTTTACAAAGAATTTGTAGTGACAGAGCTATACTCAAGCGCGGCTTCAAATTGAATGACGGTTGAGTATTATAGACTTAACTGATTAGTGATTACATACATACATACATAACTCCACGCCTGTCTCCCATGGGGGTAGGCAGAGACTATAGAACGCCAATTGGGATGATGACAGCGTATGAAAATTAAAAATCTAATTAGTCCGTAACTTAGGTAATGAAAACATATTAGACACGTATTTTATTATTTTGTCGTATAATAAAATGATACTTAGATAAAATGAATCACAGTTTAGGAGTGGGAGCTAAAACGTCATTTCTACGTATAAAATGTACATAGAAGTGACGTCACGCGGCATTTCAAATCAATATATTCGTTTCTGTAAGAAATTAAAAAATACGTGTCTAATGATTTAAAATAATCTACCAGACGGATTTTAAAATAAAAATTACGCATCTACCCTATTACTACGATTCCTACATACCTCTTTCACTTCATCAACAGTCATCAATCTTTTCATGCATGCTCGAGAGATACTTAAGAGATTTACACCATCAAATACTAGCTAGGCCAATGTACCTAGATAACTATTTATCTATCATTACGTAACAGGTGTTAGCACTTTAAACTGTCAAACACCAAGCGGTCACCGGTGACCGCGACCTATTGTTCTTTAATTGTGTCTATAAAACCGGTACTCGACGAGTTAATACTGTTACATGAGGACTTAGCTTCTAAATCTAATCGACACATCTATTGCAGAACATTGTATTATGATTAATACATTTCATGACAAAACTTGTTCATTGTATTTCACCTATGGATCCTCTGATAATAATCAGTAACAGTTTTGTTCATCGAAACATGACACATTTTGCAGATAATATGGAGTTATTTGTCGTAATACGTTTTCCCATAACTAGGTTCGGCATGGATTTATAATAAAGGGGCAAAATTTTGCTTAATCCATTGTTATACTCAGACATAATGTACATAGGTACAATATAGGCATTCTACAACTTTGAGTACCTACTGCGCGACTTGCATAAACATTTTTTTCTTTTTTTATGGGATAAGCCGGCAAAAGAGAAGACGGATCACCTGATGGTAAGCCATCGGCGTCGCCCATAGACACCTGGGACCTGTTTGTTTGTTTGTTTGTTTGAACGCGCTAATCTCCGTAACTAAAAGTCTGATTTGAATATTTTTTTTGTGTTAGATAGTGCATTTATAGAGGATGGCTATAGGCGATAAAATATTACGCTACAACCAATAGGGGCTGAGCAGAGCGTGTGAAACCGCGCGGAAGTAGCTAGTTCCTAATATTCAAAAGGCCGGTAACGCACTTGTAACGCCTCTAGTGTTCCGTCTGGTCGTTTACCGGCTCAATTGATAAAAATCTATTCTACGTTAGTGTAGCTAACTAAGAAACAAAAGAGACAATCTATAAATAAACCAAACAACATAATATAAAATCAATAATTTTATCAAAATCCGGAGCAAAGTGAATGCCTAGATATGATCAAACGCTTTTATATTGTTGAATATAGTTAATCGATATTCGATAAGATTACACGGTAATACAATACCTATATAATATACATACACATATGTTAGTAATCCTTATCCTTACTAATATTATAAATCTGAAAGTGAGTTTGTTTGTTTGTTTGTTTGTTCCACCTTCACGCCGTAACTACTCAACCGCTTTGAATTTTTGCAGACGTAAAGTTAGAAGTCCGGATTATATGGTACTTTTTAACCCGGAAAAAATTGATATTTCCGAGGAAAAACAAAAGTATTGGTATAGATGGCGCTGTGTGTATTGGTATATGTCACATAGACTACTTTTTATTCTTTTGTGACGCGAGCGAAGCCGCGGGTAAAAGCTAGTATATAATATATATGTATAGTGTGTGTGGTCGCTGTCTTGCCTTGTAACAATAATACGACATTATCTTTTAATTCATTATCCTTTAAAAATATAATTCTTGAGATTAGACAATGTTTGTAAACGATACGACAACTACATATAAGGTGTTCTATAATTTTATGCCACGGCTTTAATGGGAGGTAGTGTTATGTTTACAGATTACAATTGTGAAGAAATTTCGTACCCCGGACCAGTTAATTACATACAGTAATTAAGTAAACATTGACTACATTCTGCATAATGTGGTTCACAAATTACGCGCGATGCGTCGCTTAGTCAATGAAAACAATTGCTATCTCTTTCCACGTGTACTGAGAATGAAAACGGAAATCAGCTGACTAGTTCGTCACTATCTAATCTACTAGATACTCAATAGGCAGGCTAACAAGGGTTTTAAAAGTGCAATTACTTACCAGGTACGGCATTCTTCCGAAAAGCTGATGTAGGTAAATAGATTATAAACTTCATCACACTTAAAACAGTTTTTTACACACTCTCTACCTACTTATCTACAAAACTGTTGCACAAGTCCACCTTCGCGTTGCACACAAATAAGGCACGCTTCCAAACATGTCATATCACATTATTTAACGTGTCCGTTTCACTTTTACTTTGTTTCGCGTTTGACTCCACAAGTTATTGTCACTATCATCGTAAACTCCGGCGGTATCCCTTGTGCACGCAAGAAGATGACACCGAAAGAACTCTAACACTTCCTCTTCGAGTTCTGATTTGAATTTCGTCGCCTGGTAGTCATTTTTACGTAGCGCGCGCGTATCTCCGACATTAAAACTAACGTGCGGGCAAGCAGGGGTTGACGGGGCTACTGGCGGCCGGGCGGCGCGTGCGACGAGTTCTGCTGGGGTGTGTTGTCTCGTTCTTGAACGCCCCGTCATACGCTGTTGCCATCCTTATCAGACCGCTCGCGCCGGGCGGCTAAGAGCACGCTGCACACCCCCGCGCGCCCGCACCCTCTCCTGCACTCGTCGCACGCGCTGGTCAACCGGCCGCCGGGCAGGCGGGGGTTGAGCTACTGATAAGGATGGCAACAGCGTATGACGGGGCGTTCAAGAACGAGACAGCACACCCCAGCCAGCAGAACTCGTCGCACGCGCCGCCCGGCCGCCAGTAGCCCAGTCAACCCCTGCCTGCGCGGACGTTGTTAGTTTCAATGTCGGGGATACGCGCGCGCTACTTAAAAATGACTCCCAGGCGACGAAATTCTAATCAGAACTCGAAGAGGAAGTGTTAGAGTTCTTTCGGTGTCATCGTCTTGCGAGCACAAGGGATACTGCCGGAGTTTACGATGATAGAGACAATAACTTGTGGCGTCTTTTAAATCAAACGCGAAACATAGTAAAAGTGAAACGGACGCATTAAGTAATGTGATATGACATGTTTGGAAGCGTGCCTTCATTTGTGTGCAACGCGAAGGTGGACTTGTGCAACAGTTTTGTAGATAAGTAGGTAGAGAGTGTGTAAAAAACTGTTTTAAGTGTGATGGGAAGTTTATAATCTTATTTACCTACATCAGCTTTTCGGAAGAATGCCGTACCTGGTAAGTAATTGCACTTTTAAAACCCTTGTTAGCCTGCCTATTGAGTACCTAGTAGATTAGATAGTGACGAACTAGTCAGCTGATTTCCGTTTTCATTCTCAGTACACGTGGAAAGAGATAGCAATTGTTTTCATTGACTAAGCGACGCATCGCGCGTAATTTGTGAACCACATTATGCAGAATGTAGTCAATGTTTACTTAATTACTGTATGTAATTAACTGGTCCGGGGTACGAAATTTCTTCACAATTGTAATCTGTAAACATAACACTACCTCCCATTAAAGCCGTGGCATAAAATTATAGAACACCTTATATAAGTGAGTACATAACATAACATCACGCCTTTTATCCCCGAAGGGGTTTCTTTTAAGGGGGGAAAATCATCGAATGATTGCTCCCGCCTGGGTGAGGCGGGAGGGAGTGTCAGACTCTTACTGACTAAAAACCACCCCGTTCCTTCTCCTGCACGTCGAGCCGGAGCCCCGGTTACCCGTTAGGTTCTCTCGGCACTTAATGCCACTGTACAATGTAACACCTACTTTTCACTATTTATGTTACTAGCGGCCCGTCCCGGCTTCGCACGGGGGGACTTAAGATTTTTTACATAGTTTTACGTTTTATTTATATTTATTCTCAGTTTTTTTTTAGCGACCTGCCCTCCGTTGTCGATGTCGCGTCTTAAGGTAACCGATTGAACAATTCAAAAGTTATCTAGAGCAAACTTTTATAAGGATTGAACCATTCATTAAAACGATTGTTATGGGTAAACTATAAAAGGTAGACATATGCTCTCGCGGACTTTTTTAAAAATAATGTTAAGATAAACAATTCATCTATAGAACATTTTTGTATAACTTTAACTATATGCTCAGCGCACGCCACGGAAGACCTCAGAAACGATACTTTTCCCCCGTTTTTAAAACATTTTTGGTTACTGCTCCACAACTATAGGACCTAGCGTGATATTATATAGCCTATGTTACTTCTGAATAATGCAGCTTTCGAATGGTGAAAAAATTATTGCAATCGGTTCAGTAGTTTTTGAGTTTATTCATTACAAACATACAAAAATACAAATCTTTCCTCTTTATAATATTATTATTAGTATAGATTAGTCCCATGTAATAGGGGGTGAACCTATTGCCATAGACCGGGCAAGTTTCCGGACTCCGTGCTGTCACTATGATTTTTTTTTAAAACACACTATAATACTTTGCCCGACCCGGGACTCGAACGCCTTACTCGGCAGTCGGCCAACGAGGCAGGCATATAAGCAAGTATTCTACTAATATTATAAATGCGAAAGTTTGTGAGGATGTATGTGTGTGTGTCTGTTTCTCTTTCACGTCAAAATGGCTGAAGGGATCGGGAAAAAATTAGAAACAGATTATAGTCTTTTTTTTAAGGAGGGATAATTATCGAATGGGATCTCCCACCTGGGTGAGGCGCGAGGGAGTGTCAGACTCTTACTGACTATAAACTACTCCGTTCCTACTCCTGCACTTCGAGCCGGAGCCCCGGTAACCCATTAAGTTTTCCGCGGCTCCATATCTGGATTATGGTCTGTCATAACACATAGGCTATTTCTATCCCACGGGAACGCGGGCGAAGTCACTGGCAGAAGCACTAGCTTCTGCCAGTGACTATATGTACTAACATATAGTGTTGAAATAAATGGTAAATATTGCACAATAGATTCACAGAGTTATGAATGAAAGTATCATTGTTTCATCACCATTTTATTAGTTAACGTTGAAATCAGTGATTTTCTACATAATTATGGGATTTGGACTCTTCAATGCATTAATTACCGCTAGAAGTAAGTTATTGCAGCATGCATGAAAAGATTGATGACTGTGTTGATGAAGCGAAAAAGGTATGTAGGAATCGTAGGAACTGGCGTTCCATAGTCTCTTTCATAACCTAACCTTCCCCCATGGGAGACAGACGTGAAGTTATGTATGTATGTATGTAAGTAAGTGTTATTCTCTTGTAAAAGCGTTAATCTAATTTGATGAAGTTACACGCGAGCTAATTATGATTATAAGCCCCAGTGAAGGCTTAAACCAATCGAGAACCCTCGAAAAGTGATTTTCAACCTTAATTTCATGTGTAATCCGTTAATATTAGTAAATAAAAAGATGAATACTAACCAAATCCACAAGGATCTCTTAAAATGTCAGGTTCGTGAGTTGGTTCGATACTGTCACTTTTTTCAATTTCAAGTGTCCTCATGTAGTAACACAAATGTAAGAAGTCCATCTTTACCGACTTTATATAAATAACATATTATTCAATAATCACTTTAGTCATTCATTATTGATTTGCACTGTATATTTAGTTTTAGACACTGTTTAGTAGTTTATTACAAGACAATCACTTTGTTAAAATACACCTATGTAATATTTATAGCGATTAGTAATAACTATTACAACTTTACAAATTATATATCTGTCAAGGGGATTATGTTCTTAGAGATAGACAGATCATATGTGCCTTAAGAAATTCGTAGTTTTGTAAAACATTTATTTCAAATTAAATAAGATATTTTTGTTAACAATAGATCTTAGAAATGTCCTTTAATTTATTTTAACTTCGTCTCAAATCAATTTCTAATCTTGTTTATCACACTATGACCATTAGCATACACAGAAAAAGGTACCTATTTAATTAACGCTATTCAAACACTATTTTGTTTCCGAATCGCGGGATTTTTAAATAACACAACACATGTTATCGCTTCGGCGACTAACACGCTACTGACCGATTCGTAATTCGTTGCGATATTGAGCTTATCAGTTACTTATCTTTGCACAGTCTCGTCTAACGATTATAAAAAAAAACTATATTATATTCTGGCGGGTAAAGGCAAAGAGATTATCTAACAATGTAATACAAAGGCGTGTCTATTATATGAAGGTAATGTACACAAAAGAGACTACTTCAAACTGAATTTTTTCAATGCAATTTCAACTTTATATGTTTTGTAATAATGTTGAAAATGTATTCAAGCTTAAATATTTATTTATTTGTATAAAATAGATATTATTATAATTCATTCACGATGATCTATAAAGCAGTAATAATCTAAAATTAGACAATTAATCACAATCTGTTGCACAACTCAAGTGGGTTTACATCAATCTATTTAATTCGATAAGAAATTCAATATGGTATTTGGCAGGTAGTCAAATTCAATACTTTTATTGAAATGTTAAAAACGATACTTTAATAGAAGATTCCTATATACACTACCATTCAGTTATAAGCTCATCCTAAACGTCCGTTAATGGCCTAAACTGTCAAACACCGCGAGGACACCGGTGACCGCAACCTATTGTTCTTTAATTGTGTCTATAATGACTGTACTCAAAGGGTTAAACAATCTATCAATTTTATTTCAATCACGGTGTGCTAGAAAACTTGCTGACAAATTAGATCTCGCATTGTAGTACATAGCAGCACGTCGCTGCACCTCAAGATCGACCGGTAGTACGCCCGCGAGCACAGGTAGGGGCCTTAGTGCTAACCGTCCTATTAGCCTTACACAGGAAATTCATTAATGAAGGCTAGACACTGGCCTTGGAGATGTTTTCGCACCAGCCGTGCAGTTAAAATATGAATATCATATTTTTGTAAAAAAAAAAGTAAACATTAATGACAATTTAAGTTTTAGTCTAATGAGCTGTAAAGTCTTACAAGCCTCTTAGCTTGTTATAGAAAAACCGATAAACGTATTATAATACGTTTGACGCTCGTTACGTAGACGTACGTTATTTGCTTACGATGGCGAAGTAGGTCCTTCACAAAAAATACGCGAGATGGCAGTGTTACATGAATTTGGCGAAAGAATAAACCACAATATTCTTGAACGCACTTTTCGAAATGTATTACGTACCTATGTCTTCAGTGAGTATGATTGTACCTATGAAGACGGGGGGGGGGTTAATCTAAGTATCTTTGTTGCCTACCCTGTCTCGAAAACCTGTGCACGCCACTGACCTATAGGTATGCCATCGTAAGCAAATAACTATCCTAGTTCTTGGTCTATAGATTAGGTGCCGTTTTCAATGGAGTTAATGTTTTTTTTGTTCACCTGAAACCGCAAATGTAGAACCTGGGTTTTTGTTCAATCACTGTACCTGTCAAATACTGAACGTCCAATGTTATTACACTAGTGACTAGCTAATTCGCTATTGGAAAAAGAGCGAGAAGTTCACAGTAGCACCATCTGTGAGAAAAAATAAGGTAGACTCCATTGCCAGGTGACCAGTGACGGTACTATTCAGAGAATCGGTCAAATGTTATGTAATGTAACGTTTTCATAATTGCCTCCATGACGTTATTGGTCAATTTTGAGAATCTATTTCATACTTACTTTGTACACCAATAAGCATCTTCTCAATACCAGACTTGTAACACTCGAAGGCGCGCTGGTAGTCGCCCATATCTTCACACCGCGCCGCCAGATTCAACATATACCCAGCTTCAAACACATAACTATCCTCCGTCTTCGTCTTACACTCCGCGTTAGACAAGGACACAACACTTTTACTGTACAACGACACTCGCGAACTACTCCGTCTAGAGTCCACATCACAAGAAGTCGAGGAACAAACGTTAGAACTTAGAGACACTGTATCAAAATCATCATATTTTGACGTTGACGGTGCATCGAATATTATTAAGTCTGGTAACACTGATTTAGTTTTGACACTGGGCTTTTTATCCACTGTGAGTTTGTTTAGTTCGTCATAGAGGTCGCTGTCGATGCTTTCTATTGAGTTGATGGATTCGAAGCTGTCGGTCGGCGAGACCTTTTTCGGTGAGCGTCGGATCTCGACGTCGGCTGCTTCGTAGATGGGTATTTGTGAGATGAAGTCTGGTTCGTCTCGACTTGTGATGGATGCGTGCGACGACTCTGTGGCTGCTCGTGCTGCAATAGTATGATGGTGGGATGAGATACTACACTATATTACGTGCGTGTTTATTTGTGCAGGACATTACATACTAAGAATATAACTATATGAATTGTGTTAAGATTGTGTCAACTTTAGCGTGCTAATAATAACAAGTCACTCTTCGCAACAATTACCTTACGTCATCATTATCATAATCAAAATGGTTCAAAGCTGGACTATGAGCATTCTCTATAAAAGATTTACCATGAATTCCACGCTCAGCAAATTAGCAAAATGGAGCAATGTGTATGTGTTGTGTACGTATTGTGCAGAACAGTAAATCAGTAAGGAAGTTACAAGATGACCTTCAAATGTACAAATTATCTATCATCCATTCGAATTATCTACTAATTCACGTGAAACGTCTTTAAAATCGCTCCGAAACATACGGGTACCAGTTTTAAAACGTGAACCGTAACGAAAAGGTCTATATCATAGTAAATTCATAATTTAAAAAAAAAAACACAGAAGGCAGTTCTCCTAGAAACGGCACGTATCGTGAGGAGGTTTCTGTCTCTGGAGCCCTAACCACCGGTAGCTTGGACCATGCTCCCGCTACTGGTCGGCTCCTATTTTTATATTTTTAATTTTGCACGGTGTTTAAAATCGTAATTTTTAGAGAATTTTAAATAAATCTTGATATATATAATTCTTCTGTGAGTGTGTATGTCACTGAATTTGATGTTATTTTTTGTGTGTTCAAGATGATCTGGGAATGGTTTAGATTCACAAATCAGCCCAGCAGATGGCGCTGCAGTCGCTATGTAGGTAATTTATCTATACCTATTATTATATTATTATTATTATATGCAGGACAACGTCTGTCGGGTCCGCTAGTATATGTATAAAACTATTAGTCTAAGAAACAAAAACTTGTATAAGTGAAATATTCACATAACATTTTTCAGCTCGCTGTTATGACATTGAGTTCGTGTCGGGGTCGAGGGGGCGGCGGGGGAGGGATACGGCGGTAACTGCGATAAACCGGCGCTTTTGCTGGTCGCTAACATATACGCTTTACGTTAAAAGCCCCACCCGTTTTTTTTTTCTCTACATTTGAAGGGCCAACGTTTGCTACTATCCCGCCTGGTGGTAAGCGATGATGCGGTCTACGATGGAGCATGTCGTATAGGCCACATAGTCACTCGGGCCTTGACGACACCAAGAAATCCTTATCCTTACTAATATTATAAATCGGAAAGTGAGTTTGTTTGTTTGTTCCACTTTCACCCCGTAACTACTAAACCGATTGCTTTGAATTTTTGCAGACGTAAAGTTAGAAGTCCGGATTAAATAATAGGGTACTTTTTATCCCGGAAAATTTTGATATTCCCGGGGAAAAACAAAAGTATTGGTATAGATGGCGCTGTGTGTATTGGTATATGTCACATAGGCTATTTTTTATCCTTTTGTGACGCGAGCGAAGCTGCGGGTAAAAGCTAGTAAGAAATAACTCAAAATTTACCAGTGTGTGTAGGTGTAGAAGTATCGTCATCATCAGTCTGATACTCTAATGGAGGTGTCTCCTCTATGGGCAGGTGTAAGGATGATCTGATCGCGTTGATTACTCCGCCTGCTTGAGGCGTCGGTTCAGGGTAGCCGGTCTGAAAATATGGAATTTTCAAATCAGTTTTCATGCTTATAAAGATGAATTTGCAATGCTTTACCGATTAAGGGTAGCCTTTCAGACTGAAAGGTTTCAGGGATTTGAATTTAATAGTCGTACCTATAAGGTACGATTTGCAATGTGTTTTTAAAGTTTCAATTTGGTGTATTCAGTCCTCATGCTAATAAGAATCAATGAACAATGTTTTTGTTAAGATAAATCGGGCTATTGGATTTTGTATTTAATTCCCATGACAATAAGAATCAATTTACAAAAGAAAAAAGTTAGGAGGGTCATGGTATTGTAGTTTGAATTCTGTTCTCATGTACTTAAGAATCAATTTACAATATGAAAGAGTTAAGATTAAGAAACACAACTAATTTGTACGAACCTGTAGGAAGTTGACAAAATCAGTACTGGTGAATAGCAGTCGGTGTTCAGCTACAAACTCCAACAGAGACTTTATAGTCTTAGCTCGCTCCGTGATCACCTGCAACATCATTTGTAAAGGTACAGGGTCTAAAGTTCACTGCCACCGTGAGTGATGTTCACACGGCAATGCGTAATTTTATATGAATGTGCATAAAAACGCGTGCGTACGCATAAACACACGCACGCGTACGCACACGGATAAAAATATGCGTGTGCATGTATGTGTATAAACGGTGCAGCGCAACCGATAGTAGTCTTACGGTGGCAGTGGACTTTTGACCTTTGACCGTACAATAGTAATACACCTCTTTAAAAATCGAATAAGGTTCTTTTTTTTTTTTTTTTATTTATTTATTTATATTAATTACAACGGTTACACCAATGACAGCAATTAATTAATTTGTTATAAGACCATTATATCAATATTACAAATACACATTCAGATCCATGTCAACATTAAAAGAAATATAATAAAATAAAATAAAATTCAACTTCATGTCAGAACCTAAACCATATGAAACGTCAAGATTAACAGAAAATATCATTATGTCAAACTTGTCAGACTCAAATTACCCACAAAACATTTGGAAAAAAAAACAGTAATAATAATTATATTAAGAATTAAGTCACAATATTTAAGTTACAATATTGTTCTATCTCTTTCATTTCATTATTATCTTCAACAGTCTGTCCACTGGACTGTGAACCTCCTCTACATACGACCTGCCAATTGGGTACTTACCAACTAGTCAAATTCAATACTTCATTCGAACTGTCAAAACGACAGAGGCCTTAGTACGAGTTTCATTTACGTTTAAAGTATTCGTAACGAGAGCGCGTTCGGCACTCTGATTGGCCAGCTCCAATGAACCAACCAATCAGAGCGCCGGACGAGGTTTCGTTTCGATTACTTTAAACGAAAAAAAAACTCGTACTAAGCCCTTTGCTTTCTATGAATTGTATATTGTGACGTCATTTTTTTTTAAACAAATAAATAATATTTTATCGTCATACTTATTTCTTAAAAATTTGCTGAAATAATATTAAAAATAATTGGTCGTAAAATCAATTAATGAAAGTGTACCTAATTATTTTTTATTTAATATTTTATTTTTATTTTTTTAATATCCTTCATGCACATGATGCACAAATAAGTGGACTTAATGCCGCAGGCATTTTCTACCAGTCTGACCTTTGGGTGATGCAGAGAAGAGTAAATGGTAGGTGCAAGAGGCAAGCAATGATTTTATTTAACAAATGGAATTGTATATATTGTATTGAACAGTCGAAATAATTTATTTTTGATTAAGGAAAGTACCCAATTATGGGTAGGTATGGGCAGTCAATAATAGGCAGGTGGTAATGGATAAACTCCAATTGTAGTTTAACTTAACGTGTGTTTAACAAAACGTGGATCCACGCGACACACATTGTATTTTCTATTGTGTCTTATACATACTCAAGCGTTTTAAAACCCAAATCTCGATTCTGCTATTCAGTGGAAAATAATGTAATGCGAAAATACGTTTTTTGCGTTCACCAAAGGACACAAATGTAACGTGAAGTCCTGTTTTTCCAATAGACAATTAGCTAAATTCAAACCGTAATGAGCATAATTTTTTACAGCTACATTGATTGGACAAAGCTGCCTTACGTCACACTAGCGCCATCTAATGAGTAGAAAAACTGTAGTGCTCATTGTCAAAGTTCCATAGTCTTTCAACATTATCAATATTACTGGGTTTTTAAATATTCTCAGTAGTAGCACGGAGTCTGGAATTGTGCCCGGTATATACCGGGCCATGCCATGTAATAACCTGCCGAATTACATGGGACTCATAACATAAATAATAAAAAGTGGTTGTTACATTGTACAGTAGTACATATAATGTGCACCTCTGCCTACCCCTTCGGGTATAAAAGGCGTGATGTTATGTTATGTCTTTCAACAAACTTCTTAACAAACTACAATGCCAAAACTGAACTTATACAGTTAATACTAATAACAATCAAAACAGACCTCCTGCTGGAATCTCTTGAAGAAGCTGTATCGTGGTAGAGATGGGAAGGTGCCCCGCAGGTGTAACCCTGCATGTAGGGAGCGCATGCTCTTGTGTAGTCTCTGGACATCACTGTACCTCTTCCACACCGATACCACTGTCAGAGCCTCTGGAGACTGGATCGGGAACAACTGGAATTGTTATATGTCTAATTAAAAATATATCCAGCTTAATTAACTAAAAACGCGGGTTCCACAGAAGGTCTCGCGCACGCTGCTCATAAGGAAGAACCTCTCTGTGGTTCAAAACTAGTAGACCTTTTCTAAGTATGTTCACGTGAGTAACCCACGATTTTTAGTTAATTTAGTATGTCTCACGATAGTTATTATAAAAATATGTCCAACTTCGGGACTTTCCTGTGGTCAAAGTAGCCTATGTGTTACTCCACACCATAATCTAGTCGCGTTCTGCGCGCGCCTCAAAGAGCCATCAGACCACCACAGATGGGGTCCAATAGGACCGATGCCGATTCGGAGTCGCGGAGAACCTAACGGGTAACCGGGGCTCCGGCTCGACGTGCAGGAGAAGGAACGGGTTGGTTTTTAGTCATTAAGAGTCTGACACTCTCTTCCGCTTCACCCAGGCGGGAGCAGTCAGTCATGATTTTCCCCCCTTAAAAAAAAACACCATAATCTACTCATGTTCCAATTTTCATCCCAATCCCTTCATCCATTTTGAAGTAATTGAGTAACAAGCAAACACACAAACTTTCACATTTATAACTTTAGTAGGACGGTGTTCTTGAAGAACAGCTTTATAAACACCTTACTTTTTTTTTCTTTTTTTTTTTTTTAAAAACGTTGCCCCACACTAGGGGCCTTACTCAATCAAATAAAACTAAAAAAAAATAAAAAAAATAAACACCATACTCAATCAAAAATGAAGAATTCTACGTATATTATAACCTTCCACAAAAATCATGCAAGCCATTATAAGAAGTGCATAAAAAGCAATCAGTATTTTACGACTTTGTTACAAATGTACAGACGTACAATTAAAAGAGGACTTTCATTTGATAATTTTTATTGATGTGAGTATGTGGGTAGGTATATGGATATGTTATCAGAGTTTAGGAATATTTTTATTTAAGTTAGTTATTATGAGGATAACATGTTATCCTCATAGTAACTGTTATTATTATTACCAGGAAGTCAGTGTTTTAAAGGATAGTGCGAACTAATATATGGAGTCTGGGTCTACTAGCTTCTGCCAGCGGTTTCGCCCGCGTTCCCGTAGGATAAAAAGTGGTCTATGTGTTATTCCAGACCATAATTTTTTTTTCTTTTTTTTTTAAAAACGTTACCCCACACTAGGATTTTCTCCTGTGTCGTGGGTGCGTTTACAAACATACAAGTTCACATACACAATGACACCCAGACCCGAAACAACAATTTGTGAATCACACAAAGTGTTGTTCCGTGCGGGAATCGAACCCGCGGCACGTTGCACGGCAGCCGGTTGCCCAGCCACCGCACCAACCGTGCAGTCCCTTGTTCCCACCATAATTTCATCTAGATCCCTTCAGCTGTTTTGACGTGAAAGAGTAACAAACAGACACAAACACACACACACACACACCCTCGCACGCACATACACACACACACGCGCGCAAACACAAACACACACACACACACGCACATGCACACACATACACAAAACTTCCTCATATTATTAGGATGTAGGATAGGATATTATTAGTAGGATTGGATAGTATATCACAATGCAGTTCAATGTCTTTTAATGGAACATAAGTTCCTATGGTCAAATGTTAGTATGTTCACAAATACGACGTCCTAAAGTCAGATTTTAGGCATATTTAAGGATATTGCTTACACAATTTTTTAATTAGGTATCTTTATAGAAGTAGTATGTAATAGAATTTAAACCATGAGTATTTGTTGTATTCCAACATAATGACCTCTGAGTTTGTTTTGGCGATTCTTCACAGAGTAGGCAGTTAGGAAATGCTGGCCCTCGTCTAGTAATTTAAAGATTCATGTGTAAAAGTGTTACTTTGTAACCTATTTGCAGAAAAAAATATCATTTCATTTCATTATTTAACTCGGGATCACTTTCTTAGCAATATTATAGGCACTATAACTCCAAAACCATGGACATTTGACCTTAGTCATAATTCTAAGTTTTATTCTGCATAAGAACATCAATTCATAGAGGGGTATCTTATTTATATTGAGCAGTTGGCCTAACAATACCCAATGTTCCTTAAACAAATTATAATAATAAATAGCTTCAGGATGAATGTCCTATCATTTCTATAGCTTGCAAGTCTAATTGCAGTGCAATACAATAATAGAAATCATTTCTTGTTATCTATACAAGTAATTGCAATATTTTTATTGATATCTTCATTTCATATTATCTTTGTGAGGTATTTATATTAAGCTGTATATAGATAGGATACAAGAAAAAAAGGTTTCATACTGGCTGTATGTGGCATGTACAACTTACAAAAAAAAAAATAAGTAGAAAGTTTATGGCTAATCCTGAAGATTACACAATATTCTTGTTTTTATTTTACCTAATAATAATTGATTTCAATAAAAATATAGGTCACCGCTATGGAAAGAGAGAGCTAGCTGTTCCCCATGATTTTATCCTTATAGTATACCGACTTCTAAGAGAATATAGATTTAATAAGTGTATTAAGCGATATAAGGATCTTCTTGGTAGATTTTCACACATCGGGTTACATTCGATGATAATGTTCTTTTACTATTGGTATCTTACATTATCATCGGATGAACAGTAAAATATTTTTTCAAATCAGGCCAGTACTTTCAGAGCATATTCAATTTAAACAAACAAATGAAATCTTTACTCTTTATAATATTGGGTACCTATATAAGGTATGGTATGTTCAAATGACATCAAAACACAATTAAATGTGAAATAAAACTTTGTTATTGTGCAATTTGATGAATCATTCCATTTCATAATTTAACATTTTATTTGAAATTGAATTAGAAATTAAAATTTATATAGATCTGGCACTAGAAATCTCTTTTTCAGCTTTCTTTAAATGTCCATTCACTTTGCCCTAGATAATATGCAAATATTCAAAGTTAATAAAAAGATGATATTATTGAATGTGTATTTACAAATATGGGAGCACTAGGATATCTAATATCGTGTAATTCCCATGATCAGCAAGTTAAATTAGTATTTACCACAGAAGTAATCTTGTAAATAGTAAATCCATTCTTGTGTTTTGCTGTTTCGTCAACCGAGAACCGGCGTACCCACTTGTCTTTAGCCGACATTGCAATATGCGCCAGTTTTATTGAAATCTACACTATCACATCACTGTTGTTGATTAAAACCAATCGTATACGACATTTAGGTAATATTTGCCACAGCAACTATGTGAAATTATCTAAATAAATTTACACAACCCAGTAATCGAATTGTCGATTAATTTTTGTGAGTGAGGAAAACTAGTACACAAAAATTGCATTTGCACGCGCGTTCCAGCGTCGTCCGATAGGAATAAATGTCACTACACTACTGTCATGTCTATCTAGCTTACTCTTTTTTTTTCAAATAAGAAAATTATTTTTGTCTCTTTCATTTATGCTTCACTATTTGTTCACATTTTTTTTTGTTTGTTTTTGACATCAAAATAAGACATTGCCAATATAGTTTCGTAATACAAAATAATTTATTAGGGTAAATGCCCCTATACAGACACATACACATTTTGGAGTGAAAGAATCTGTTAACAATCTTTTAATTATAATATTGTTAGGTACGCCTTTGCTTTTGAAAATATTTTATTTTATATTTCAGCGATTCTCGATAGGTAATCAATACTTAAATTGCTCTGGACTGGACTAGCCGAATTTAAAAGTAGTTTGTTATTATTTCTAGGTCTATATCTGGCAAGAGAGGCTGTTTTGGTATCAGTTATGTTCACTTTCAACAGATGTCAGTGTTATCTCCATCGTTAAATTTCATTCCAATGCCTAGGTGTCGCTTGTGTCGCTTTTAGCACATTGAATAAGTTTTTATAAACATAGCTTACTTTCTTTACATTTTTACTGACGAATGGGATGGGATATATCGTATTACCGCTTCTTGCTTAATTAAATCTAATGACAACTTGCAGATACCTAAAAAGGCAAAGGTGCTACAACAACACGAAGGCGATAGGTCAAGCTTGCGGCTTCATTACTTATCCCCCACTCTTTACTCACTTAACCGAATGGCGCGCGGCGAGAGGTTGTGCCAACTTGTGTTTCGTCCGTTCCGTGTCGTGTTTCTCGCGTCCTCGAGTACTTTGCAATAATACTTTTCCTTCGAGACATGAATGGATTCAGTGCTGCGTTAACAGACAAGCCTTAAGAACGCTTGTACAAAGGCTTTATTTAAAGAAAATGTGTTATCAATAACGTGTGACTGCTTTTTGTGTATAGTGTTCGAAAAAAGTTAAGTAAACAACCGGATATCAACAAGATGGGTTCAAAAATCGAGTACGTGGATTCATCACATTTATACGCGACCAACTATGTCCGCAATTCGAAAGCTATCGGTGTGCTTTGGGCGATATTCACGATTTGCTACGCGATTATAAGCGTTGTGGCTTTTGTGACCCCCGAGTGGATTGGTGATTTAGAGACTGAATATCCGAGAAAGTTTGGATTGTGGCAGACATGCAGAGCAGACGAGGCTCTCGAGGACTGTAAAGGAAGACTCGATGATTTCCTATCAATAAATGGTCTTGTGTTCAAGATTGCGACTGTGTTAGTAGGCATAGCGGTCGCCCTGGCCCTGTTTACGATCTGTGCAATGTTGTTATTCTTCTTTTGTCAATCGACGACGGTGTTTCACATCTGTGGTTGGCTGCAGCTGTTGTCTGGTAAGTTAAAGTGGGTAGTACCTGCATTAATCACTTCACTAACATTGAATAACTTAAGCCTTTATCTTTATCTTAACTATATGTCACCGCATCTGATCTACCGAATACAAAGAACGGTATTGTTTGTACAGTTCCCATTTCCAATATGTACAAACCGGTTATTAAACGAGGGTAGTGGCACAACAGACTCCAAAATTGTCATTTTTATCGACTTCAGAATCGGCGATAATTTGTCCTGAGTGAAAGTTTTGCATATAGTGGCCTGACCTTGGTCTGTGTTGGTTGTTAAACAACTATTGGGGCGAACGTAGGAGATATGCAACAGTGTGTGGAATGTGTGGAACAGACAGGTGTGGTGCAGGTACAGGGGCTAAGCATCCGGTGCAGGACAGGTGCTAGATGCCAGTGTCTATATCCCGGAGTTACCTGCTAACGGCAAAAATGAAAGGCGTTTAAAATGCCAAAGTTGACGTGACTAACAAGTTAACAACTGAGGACATTGGACCACCGTTTATATACAGACTATTGAATTCAACAGCGAATTATTCAATGACGATAAAATACCACGCCTCTTATTTTCAATGGTGTATTGTTTGTTACTTTATTGTATGTAACACTTTTTATCACGAGGTATTCAAAACTTAAAATGTATTTTTATAGTATCGCAACAAAACTACTTAAGTTAGCAATTTATTTGATTTTTTTTAAACATTGATGCCCATTCTAAGTAGTATCTAAATTTAGAGGGAATTAGAGAGCCTATATAAAAAACGAAGAAGAAGGAAAGGTACATAAAGCCCAAAAATAATATGACTTCTCCACCCCAGTACAACTAACTACAGAATTTGTTAATGTCTCGTTAAAAGAGATGGTTAATTTTTTAATCATTCTATTAAATATATTGAAGCTATGTAGGAAGAGGAAACTAACAAAAACTAAATTTAATTAAGTAGGTGTAATAAAAACAAATCTGTGATTTCATAATTACCTGCGTACCTACTCAATAATGTACATAAGTATCTTTCATTCTTTGAATACGATACTCTGCGTATCAAATATCGTCGAATGAGTGAACATAATCTGCTTATGGACAAGTGACAAGCGATGCTTACTGGAAAATTTAATCCAATAAGTTACTAAGCATGACGTCTTTCAAAAAATACTAGTCTATAGGTAACAAAAATTGCGTCTTCAATGTTATTAAGAAAGCTTTGGGATAGCACTTAGGTTCCAAAAATTTTTGGAGGATGCTAATGTCAGTCTCTGTGACTGGGTTAGTCGTAGTTTTCAACATCGGTACTTAAGTCCAAAATCTTCATCACCAAAAAATAAGTCACTAGATGTCTACTACTGCAGAAGAATCCTTCTACAATAACTTCGATGGTCCAGTAAGTGAACCAAAACTACCAAAATTGCTTGCATAAAGTTATTTTTATTGAAGCCTCACCTTGGTACAGGTTTTGGCACACCTTCCTCTAAACTTAGGTATAGATTATGTGTAGGTATGTAATTAGGTATTCGATGGAATTCTCCACTTACGGAAAAAGGCGCGCCCATCGCCAATATTATCAAAACCAACTGTCGAAAGTTTTGATAAACAATTTCGAAAATGTATTAACATCTAGATTAGACAATTTTAATTTCGAAAAATTGTAAAACAGCAGTTTCTTTAACAAAAAAAATAACATGAATTAAATACGAAATGAAGGTGTAAGCAATTCGGATTAAATTGAATGAGTAGCTTAATTTCTATACTCCAATTATCAAAAAGCGTTCACTAGAACAAATTGAATTAGATAGCGCCAATTTATCTGCAACCGTGTGAGTAATAGCGAACGGACAACGAAACCGGTAAAACGCCTTTGTCATGCAACAAAAATTTCATACAAAAGTGAAGCTCAACTTGTAGCTAATCCATGTTAAAGAAGCGTTAACGATTCTGCATTTATTAACTGGTTTATAAATGTAATCATCTTGTTGAGTGCATGATGGCGTAATTTGTTACATACATAAGTATACCAGAAGAAAAACGTCTGATTCAGACATCATTTTCTGGTTCTTTTAAGCATACAATTTTACGTTTTATATCGCACAGTGCAAAAGACCTGTCATTAAGTCTTCAAAATCATCGACAGAAGTTACAAAATCGATTCCACTTTATAATACCCCCCTTTTAATAATGCGCAGGGAGCAGTCATTGATGCGCACGACCTGTGTTAACATAATATCGCACAATTGCCAACGAAGCCCCATCTATGTGTGACCTCATCAACTCGCGAGTTCACCACTCATGAACCGCTACGTGACCGTAAAAAAAGTTGTGTGGAATAAACATACGTTTGTTCAAGAGGTGCGGCGAACTAGATTTTCTGCGATGTGTTAATTGGAAGCTGGGAAATCGCAACTATCTTATGTATCGATGTGCAAATGTAGATTTCTAATATTTAGCGCTATTTTAACGTTTTTGTCAAATAATGCTGTTAATAATTCATTTTGTTAGACACATATTTAGATCTAAAATAATATTAAAGTCCAAGTTATTTTGATATAAAACATTCAAGCAAATCTATCGATAATGATATGTGTATGTGGTAGTACGGTAGGAACTCTTTCGCCTAATTAACAATCGTAAAGATTTAAAATTATTCAAAAAGCGTATCCAATGAAAATTGCTTGCTTGAAAGCAATCTACACATTCAAACCAAGGTCAACTCTCGAATAATTTCAGATATTCTAATCTAGATTGTAATGATTATTCTGTCATTGAACACAAAAGAATATTGCGTAATTACAAAAAGCTACATAAGTAAAAATAAACTGCTACGCACGTGCAATGATTTTGCCGCTTTTGCCGCCTAATCCCATTTAGCGTCATAAAAAGTAAAAGTCGTGTACAATTGTCTATGATATAATAATGGCGGACATTCAAGTTCCGGGCCATATACCGCAACTACGGCGCTACAATTAAAATTGTTAGATTTTATTTATAGCAACGCATATATTATACAAATGTGGCTATTAATTACATGTGTTTCTTATTTATTTAATAATCAACAAATGGTGATTACAGGGTCATCTATTATTATAATTAATTTAGTATGATAAATCGTTTATTCAATTTTGTAATGAGAAAGATTTAATGCTATAAATATACTTAATGTAATTTTGTATAGAGGTAAATAAATCAAGAAAAAAGATATCCCGGTAGTTGTCAAGCTACATTGCTCTAGTATAGTGCAAGCTTGTTGACAGGGTTGCAAATGTTGGAAGTATCATTATTAATTGACATCGTGGGAGCTTCAGTCGGTCTCTGTTCTTAATTGGACGCTAATTAATTAAAGCAAATACAATATTTATAGTGAATATTATTTAGGTTAAGTTCAACAGTTTTCGCCCGCCTTTTAAACATTCCCGAAAATAAGAAAAGAAAGCTTCAAAAACGAGAAAAACCATATAAGTAGGTACTATTTAGTACACATATGTTTGAACTTTTCACGTTTTAAGTATCTGATCCTGGCAATCGGTAAGATGGACGCGAACTAGTTGGTGGACGCGTACAGGCGAATTTTAATAGGTTGGACGCGAAAAGGCAGACTTACCCTAAATTATATACTTTTTTGATTCAAAGAGAAATTGAAGTCGAATCTTGAAAAAACATTTTATTACCAAAAATTTGTACACAATTAAATTGTTTAGAAAGTTAGTAGGTTACCTTGGTTACAATCAAAATAAATTAGATCAATATTGCTATTATGAAATCTTTTTAATGTAAAACAATTACGATTGTACTAGGTACCTACTTACTTTCCGATTACGTGAAAAGGTTTAAGTTTAAAATTATATTCGCTTCAAATTGTGAAATCGTTTTCACTTCGTCCCATATCGAATGATCTGATGATGATTGTGAATCGATTACATGAACCGTAGCGATAAATATCGAGAAAATTTTGTACGATGAACTTGTAAGAAATTTCAATTTTTTAACAGTCTAACTTCTTATACCTTGTTCCTAATTACTCTTCCTGGAAAAAAAAAAATATTACTTAGGCGGGTAGATACAGGAAATTAGTCTATGTTTTATTAGAATGGACCGCAGTCTCCAGTGGATACTCAAATGCACTTGTTAGAAAGTCGTAATAGTCGTGAAAGACTGGACTTGACTCTTCCAATCAAGTACTCAAGTTTGAACTTACTCGAGTTAAAACCGTTTGTAGGTACGTAGGTACTGCACAAGATGTCATGATTTTCAATTTCAACCTCTTTGGTCATTGGTCATGATAATGTTCACAGTACACAGTGTATCAGAGTATCAGTGTATTGCCATGACCAATGCATACAATATAAACAATACATTAGTGTTTCTGCATAATTAATTATATTCTTAAGACAACATTAAATGGTTTTTTATAAAATGTGGAAGAAGTTGCAAAAAGGTGTAAGCATGAAGTAAGCATAAGTGCAGTCAAAAACATTTTAATTTGTAGCAGGCCATTTGGCAGTCTTAAAATTTTTAAAAGATTTTTGACAATTTGTCACATTTTTAGGAAACTATCGGCAAGATATCAGTTTTAATAATTATTTATCTTTGTAAAATGTTTTTTTGATAAGTTATTTACTTTTTTACACCAGAGCGCATTTCTGAGAGTATTACTTAAACATGAACGCACTTACAACATTCCCTGACGATGACATGTGTCCTAAGATCACTGAGGAGATCGGCGCTTTTATTAAAGCGTCGAAGAATCAGCCAAAAGCAACTGAAAAACCAATTTCAGAAGAAGGTAAAAAGGTAGAGGCCGAGCAGAAACACGAAACCGAGGCGAGACAAAAACCAGAGCCACGGCCGCCACAATCTCAACCAGTAGATTTAGATAACACCAGAACTTCGGTAGTAGTTCACGAGCTCAACGCGCTGAAACCAGGACCCGATGGGAAAGTGGATTGGACACCGCTTGGCGACCTCACTGGAACTAGGCCACCGGTCAATAAGTATTCGTTAAGTAGGTATTCACTAGGAGAATGGAGAAGGCACAATGAAAAGGTGTTAAACTCTGACGTAGTGACCGAGTCAAATGTCGTAGACTATAACGCCAAGACGTCTATGATGCAAGCATTCGGCACGCTCGATAAGCAGCAAGCAGAAAATAACAAGCGACTCAAACAAAAAGCTAAAGATATTTTCCGGTGGAAGGTGGAAGTAGAACGCGCCTGCAAAATGATAACGGAGGAAGTTGAATTATTGGAAATAGAAAGACAGCGACTGAAGGGCGCCTCTAAAGTATTAATGTTGCCTCAATCGATCTCTAAACAGTGTCTCGAAATGCGATCGAACAGATCGCAGCCGGACCTCGTAGCAGATCTAGCCGAGATACAGCTCGTGAAGGAAATGAATCTAGTGAATGAGGTAAGAGAAACTTTGAAGACAACTTTGAATCAAATAGAAGAACAACTAAAGATCAATAAAGCAGCTAAGCACAGGATCGAATACGACTGGTGTGATAAAACTATGGCGTATAATACAGACACTATCAATTTGAGTCTTAGCACCAAGTCTAGCACTATACTGTTTCGACCTGGATCTACAAGATTTGGTGAATTTTCAGCACCACTGGAATACTGGGAGTACTTTTGTAGAGAAAACATCGAAAATTGTGAAGCAGTGCGACAAAAGTCCGCTGACCTTAGAGGTAGTTTGAACGCTATTTTAGTAAATAACGGCAGAAAGCTACGTAACCAGGCGGATAAAACTGACGTGGCTTTGGCCGAAACAGTGGCTCTCACAACTGAACTGTGTACGAAGTTAAAAGAGAATTTAATAAACACTTTGCAAAAAATAGCTGACATGGAAAGTTTAATTCAAAACCTACAAGACGCGGTAAGGAAAACAGATGCAGCCATGAAGCTGGCTCAAACTAGGCTGGACAACAGAAATAATTGGAGGCCTCACGGCGAAAGTGTAAGGGACCAACCGCACATAGGTTTAATTGAAGAGGTTAAAAAAATACACGAAACAGTCACATCCCTTCTAGGACAGTTGAAAAATGCAGAGAGAGTGAGAGGAGATTTAATAGCGAAAAGAAATATGTTGGAGAAAGATATCGCATCAAAGAATAAGACATTGATAACAGACAGAGAAAGATGTGGAATGGTACGGTCGCATTACCCGTCTGCGTCAGAACTGGCTGGTCTATGAAAATTGGATGTTACATTTTGTTTTACTTATCATTGTTGTGAAATAATATCAATTTTGTATATTTTTGTATACATTTTTAGATTCTGTATCATTGTTATATAAAATATACATATTTTTCGGTATTCCTTTAGTTTATTTTTGGGACTAGTATGTACTAGTAGTAAAATAGTGATTACCCACTCTTTCGAGGTAAATAAGAAAAGTAATTAGTTATAAACATTTGCAATGAAAATACAACAACGAAAACAGACAGACACATTTAACACTTTTTTATGTTCTTTGGACTGGAAACCAAAGAGTATAACAAGTATACTAGAAACTTCGAACTGTGCGTCCTTACTGCATAGTTACTGTATCTCAGGCCACTATAAATAATAATCGATAATAAGAAAAAAGAAATAGGAAATGTCAAATTGAACAATATGTCATTGTTTGATAGACAGATTTCGTCTGAAGTATTTTTTCTTATGTAAAATACATTTTTACAGTAGATTAGAATTATAAAGAAATCAACCATGCAGCAACCAACTTCATTTCCTGACAAAGAACAATGCCCAACGAAGCAGGAGATGGCAGCTTATAAGCTGTCTCAAAAGTCTCCTACTCATGCTTTGCAAGAAATAGAAGAAGCCAAGGAGCAACAGCGAGAAAAAATGGTAACTGTGGATGCTCCAAAACCGGCTGAAGCTGCAGCTGATCTAAAGATGAAACAAGAAGAAATTAGGCGAACGAGTCCAGAACTTGCAGGAATAGATGATTTCCATTATTTACCAAACTTGAAGCCAGGACCAGACGGCAAGGTTGACTGGTCGCCGCTCGGGGACATGACTGGCACCAGACCGCCCGTTAATAAATATTCCTTAAGTAGGTATTCGCTTAGTGAGTGGAGAAAACACAACGACTCTGTTTTAAATCCAGATATTATAAATGAATCTAATATCGTACAATATAATGCTAAATCTTCTATTATGCAAGCATTTGGAAATATTGATAAACAGCAAAACGAAAATGAGAAACGATTGAAACAAAAAGCAAAAGATATATTTCGGTGGAAAGTAGAAGTAGAGCGAGCTTGTAGTTCTATCACTCAAGAAGTCGAATTGCTAGAAATCGATAGGCAACGTCTGAAAGGTGCTTCTAGAGTACTGATGTTGCCTGAATCAATTTCTAAAGAATGTTTGGATCTACGTTCAAATAGATTCGAACCAGACTTGGTTGCTGATTTAGCTGAACAAGAGTTAGTCAAAGAAATGAAACTTGTAAATGAAGTCAGAGCTACAATTAAGCAAACTTTAGCTAAAATAGAAGACCAATTGGCAGTAAACAAAGCAGCAAAACATAGAATAGAATATGATTGGTGTGATAAAGCTATGGCCTATAACACAGAATCTATTAATTTAAGTCTCAATACTAAGTCGTCTACAATATTGTTTAGACCGGGCTCTACAAGGTTTGGTGAATTTAGTGCACCTCTAGAATATTGGGAATATTTCTGTAGAGAAAACGTACAAAATTGTGAAGCAGCTCGGCAAAACTCCGCTGACTTAAGAGGCAGTTTAGACGCTATACTAGTGAACAATGGTCGAAAGTTGCGTAACCAAGCAGATAGAACTGATATGGCATTAGCAGAAACTGTAGCTATTACTACAGAACTGTGCACAAAACTCGAAGAGAATCTGAGAAGTACTCTCCAGAGAATTGCTGATATGGAGGCTTTGATAGAAGATTTGCAAGCATCTGTGAGGAAGATGGACAATGCGATGAAGTTGGCCCAAACAAGACTGGACAATAGAAATAATTGGAGACCTCATGGTGAAAATGTTAGAGATCAGCCGCATGTCGGTTTGATAGAAGAGGTGAAGAAGATTCATGAGACGGTGACGTCACTTCTCGGTCAGCTGAAAAACGCTGAGCGATTGAGAGCAGGATTGGTGAACAAAAGACATGAATTAGAAAGGGCTATAGCATCGAAGAGGAAGACTCTGAACATAGACCGAGACCGATGTGGAGTAGTGCGCTCCCACTATCCCTCAGCATCGGAACTTGCTGGATTTTGAGTTAGCCTTGTTTTATTTGTGTAACGGCTATACTTAAAATTTTAATTCGAAAAATCGATGTCAACTCGATCGTGATCGGCCATGTCATTGGTTATGGGAATAATATCGACCAATAACGGGTAACAATGCGATCGAGCTCACTCCGAAAATTCGGATGTAGATACAGAATAACTATAGGTACTAACTATAGGTATCTTTCGATAATTGCATGTATGATGCGTTTGTCATTTCCTTTGGGAAATACGCAGCGTCCGTGTGTTGTATTTTAGCTATTATTTGGAATACTTATACCTACGTAATATATTTTTAGACTATTATATTATTATGCGTTAAGCTTAACATTTGTTTTATTGACAAACAATATTATCAGAAGACTTCGTTAATTTTTTTTTGTGCGAAGTTTGGGCAAACTGTACGAGTACACAGCACAACTTGACGTTTGACGTAGCCATTGCAAGTATGAAAGAGCTTACGTAAGCAATCGCAGCTCATTTCAGACATAACAATCGTGTCGGAGTGCCATTTGCCAGAACCTTTCACTCTTTATTATTGTTTTGCACATCATTTACTCGGAGTACGCTCACACAACTGCCATCAAGATAAGGATTACAAACACTTTGCTTGCGTAAATACTAAAATAACATTACGAGTATAAGCCTAGAGTGCAACAACCAATACTGGCTTAGCAACGTGTTCCTTCTGTTTGACATAGGGCGCTAGCAGTTCAGTAGCTTAATAGCCAATCTGAATAAAATGGATCTACAACATAAACAACTACTACAACCTATCCCTGTTTTTTTAAATAACTATCGTGAGACATACTGAGGCCTTCTTAGTACGAGTTAGTTTTACGTTAAAAGTAATCGAAACGAGACTGCATTCGACGCTCTGATTGGTTGGTTCATTGGAGCCGGCCAATCAGAGCGTCGAACGCGTTAGCGTTTACGTTAAACGTTTTAAAAAAAATCTCAGTACTTAGTACACGGAGTCTGGAATTGTGCCCTGGTCTATCTGGTACATTGTGTCTGGTATATGGCAATAGGCTCACCCCCTATTACATGGGACTCATAACATAAATAGTGAAAAGTGGGTGTTACATTGTACAGTGGCATAATGTGCACCTCAGCTTACCCCTTCGGGGATAAAAGGCGTGATGTTATGTTATGTTTATGTGCCTATAAAATACGGAAACGGAACCTTTGGTGTGATAGTATCAAATAGCGTCGAAATAAAAACTATAAGTAAGTTATCATTTCCAACAATACAGGGTCTCACGAGCGATGAGAACGTAAGAACAATACGCTACTGACCTTTGTATGAAGCAACCATTCTCCCATCACTCGCTGGAAGACACCGAATCCCATAATTTGATCAAAGATACTTGCTGCTAAAATTACACAGAAGCTTTTTATCTTGACACCGTTACTTTTGGATGGTAGTGGTAGAGAAAGATTACGATCCTCCATTGATTTGTGTCGAGTTATGTGCTAATTATATTAGAGTGAGATGCTCATGGGTCTGAGAACAGTTACTACTAAGCAATACTGTTCAGGAATTCTCTTGGTATTTTATAATAACCGCCAGTAATCACATAAAGTGAAAGTAGTGTTTCACACCAAAAAGTACCTACTTATCTGTAGATAAACTCCTAGCCACTTAAAAAAACCAATTAATCATTGAAAAATCTACAGATATGTCATTATGACAATATTAGTTGTACGTAACATAAGTCTTTTTAATTTTAATTTTTAATTAATTTATTTTTTACTCTAATACTTTTCTAAATTCCTGTCGAGATGTCACAACCAACGGCTTGGAATATGGATAAATTAACTTGCCCCTATATCTGTCCGAACGCACCGCCGAGTAATTTTGACAAGCCGGTCTATTTAAAAGGTGGCCATAGAAAATCCCATGACAATCCTTTTGCTTCTCCGTATGTCCCTGGTTCCGTACAACCACCGGAAAAGAAACAATACCCTCCTGATGCACCACCGCGCTACCTCCCTCAGCAAACGGACAGCACGAGTGGGGACGTCCTCGGCATGGGACCCATCGGACCGTGGGCTGCTGGCCACTTAGACTGGACTCCTCAAGCTGGGATGACAGGTGTCCGTCCTGTAGTAGACAAGTATTCCATCACACGTTACTCCACTGGAGAATGGAGACGAAACAACTTACGCACTTTAACTCCAAGAGCTACCGACAAGGCTAAAGCTTTAGATGCTTCTATTAAAGGGGATTTAGCAAAAGCTATAAAAGGCATGGACGACATGCAAGATGGTTGTAACAAAAAATTAAAAACAAGAGTCAAGACTTTGGCTCATTGGAAGAAACAGGTGCAGAATACACTTAAAGCTATAAGCGATGAGATTGAAACATTAGATGCCAACAGACAAAAATTAAAAAGTGCTAGCAGAATTTTGATGTTGCCTGAAGCAATTTCTAGAGAGTGCTTGGAGCTTCGGACGTTCAGATATGAACCAGATTTGGTGAGAGATGATGCTGAACAAGAGTTAATTAAAGAAGTGTCTATTGTTGGAGAAATAAGAAGAGTCTTCCAGGAAACTCTAGCCAAGGTCGAGGTACAAATGGCGAATAACAGAGCTGCTAAGGCAGCTATTGAGTTTGATTGGAGCGACAAGATATCCACTTTAAAAATAGATAATCAAAATTTGAATTTAACACCCGATTCTAATCTAATACTCCATCATCCAGGTGTCGCTCGATGGCCGGAGAACGCAACAAGTTTGGAGTATTGGGAACATTATTGCAAAGAGAGTATTAGAAATTGCGAGGAAGTAAGACAGAAATCTGAAAACTTGCGAGGAGACTTAATGACAATTATTGTCAAAGGATCCCAGGACATGAAAATTCAAGGTGATAGAACTAATCTCGCGTTGGCAGAAACAGTGTCCGCTACAGAACAGCTTTGCGCAAAACTAGAAGAAACTTTAAAGGACAATTTGAAAACAATCGCAGATGTGGAAAATCTCATTGATTACTTAAAGGAATCATTAAGGAATATAGACGAGCGTGACAAGCTGTCTAATACGAGGCTACTCAACAGAAATTACGGGCGACCCAACGTAGAGAACTGTCGGGATGAAGCTCAGTATGGTTTGATGGGAGAAGCCAAGTTTATCAAAGAAACCGCAGACTCTTTAAAGGGTAAGCTGAGAGAGGCTGAAGCGGTGAGAGCGGAGCTTATGAAGTATAGAGGTGAACTGGAGAAGGATATAGCTTGTAAAAGGAAGAGTCTCAATATTGATCAGGATAGACTTGCTCGGGTACGCGCACATTTACCCACTCCAGAGGAATTTGCTAATGCTTGAGAAGGCCCTTATAAAAATTATTAAGTAATTACAATGTGCTTTTAATTTTAAATTTTTATGAGGATAAACAGCTGTTTAGTTGTAACAGTAGAAAATATTTGTTTCGATAAAGATTCTCTCTCGTGGCTTACGTTACTGAGTTAATGGCTTTATGTAAGAAGCTTTCAGGTTTATTACGAGGTTTAACCGACACATTTACTTAGCAGTTATGTTCAAGTCGTTGTGTTTAATATTTCATTTGTTACGTCAGTTTTATTATTTCCTATAGCTTTATTTACTGCCTCTTTGTAATTTGTTTGAAGTTGTTGCGGGCAATAACTTAATTTGATGCAAGTAAAAGACAGTCAGAACCACGAACAAATCTTTGTATTTGCTTCATGGTCAGAATTCAGAATGTAAAACTTTATCGTCTACCGCCGACTCTGTAGCGGTCAGGTTTTAATCTCATCAGTGCCTTTAGCCAAACGCCACTTTAGCGCTTGTCTACAGAGAGAGTAGAAAACTAAATGTATGGGGATGACGCTGACAAGTGTCAAAATTTACATCAATCCTATAAAATTTGGTTTTCTATTCTACATGTAGACAAACGCTAAGTGGCATTTGGCTACAGCTGCTGGCACAATTAACTAAAAAGTTTTTTTTGGTGTTAAAAATTATTTAGTTGACAATTTCTTCTTCTTCTTTTTTCTTTTATAAAACGTTGCCCTACGTTAGAATTTCCTCCTGTGTCGTGGGTGCATTTACTAACATACAATTTCACATACACATGATACCCAGACCCGAAACAGCAATTTGCGGATCACACAAAGAGTTGTTCCGTGCGGGACTCGAATGTGCGACACGGTGCACGGCAGCCAGTTGCCAAGCCACCGCGCAGCAGTTTGGCATTTTCTATCTGTCAGTCAATATTGAGGTACATCAGAGGTCCAAGTTTTAGATGCTTCTCCTGAAATTAATACTTGCGTTACTTTTAAAATTATCTCTTTAGTTCCTTGCAAGTTTGGCGGCACGGTTGGCGCGGTGGCTAAGGGGCGCAAAGTGCCGCGAGCTCGATTCCCGCACGGAACAACTATGTGTGATCCACAGTTCGTTGTTCTGGGTCTGGGTGTCAAGTTTATGTGAACTTTTTTGGAAACGTACGGACGACGCAGGAGACAATTCTAGTTTTAGACGTCGTTTTTTTTTTAATGTTTCAAATGACGACGAATACCTAAGTAAATATTCTTCACCGCACTTCAATCTGATTTTGCACGTGTTGCAAGATTCCCATTCAGATCCATTCATTGTTGGTTATATTAGCGGTTGTGCCACAAAGTACACGACTACACATTGAGTCATACATATCCAGTTTATCATGGTCCCGCTTTCTATGATCTTTCAGCACATTCGACGGTCAGCTTATACTGGTTTTGCGCATTTTGATGTGTAGCAAATATAGTACATTTACTGCCGACCCAGTTTAATGGGAAAATTATGAAACGTTATTTGACAAAGACGGTACATTAGAAAAATGTTGCAACGTTGTAATTATGCCGATATTAAATACTTTTGTGACCAACATTTTATTATTATGCACTTGTGAAGCGAATGTGCAAGTTATTATTGAGAACGTATTTCTTTTGTGTCTGATAAAGCGTTGCGTATTGTTTAAAAGCTCTAGTGCATCTGCCATTACCAGGGCTGTCCCATAGAGCAACACGGAGGTCCGCCAGTGGCCCGTGTTGCTCTATGGGGCTGTCCAAACAAAGTCCCGCGGGCCGCATGCGGCCCCCGACTTGTTTTCATGTGACCCGCGACACATTTTAGTCTCAACATCTTCATCTTATTTGCAACACCAATAATAAAATTCAGTGTATGATTTGTATACAAGTTTTGTCTGTGAATAAAGAATACAATGTTAATCATTATTATATAATACTAGACTAGTAGAATGCATTTGTGTCATGCTCACTCAAAGGTCTCATTGGCGGTGGCGCGTGCAGTGGATCGCTCGATTCCCTACAATATGGTTGATTTGGGCGGTGCTGGTGTACGTGTCATGTTCGTGAACGGGCGCCGTCAACTGGGACTGGTCAGCTCCAGACTGTATTATTTTATTGTCTTTAAGGACGCGTTTACGAATTGACGCGCTTCAATTTTAGGTATTGAGTCTTACTACTACACGTGCATGTCACACACACACAGCGAAATGCGCGAAGCGGCGAAATTATGTGTAAACTGACACGACTTGATACTTGAGTTATTTTTATTTAATTTTGCAATGTTTTTTTTAAGTTAACTTTGATTTGGTTTGTAACGTGAAATGGTTACAAAAGTATATTATATACTTTTGTAACCATTTTCATTAGTAATCATAATGGTACATATAGGTACCATTAACCTAATTTCATTGATTTCATGGATGGACAGTTTTTTTTTTTCTAGTTTGAGCTCGTTTTGTTAGTTATGTTGAGACCTTACCTCCGGACTTGATGGAGTGACCTGCAGGTGTACTTCGAAGACTGCTACTGGAACTAATAGACGAGTGGAGCTAGGTGTGCCGAGTTTGAGCTCGTTTTGTTAGTTATGTTGAGACCTTACCTCCGGACTTGATGGAGTGACCTGCAGGTGTACTTCGAAGACTGCTACTGGAACTAATAGACGAGTGGAGCTAGGTGTGCCGAGTTTGGGCTCGTTTTGTTAGTTATGTTGAGACCTTACCTCCGGACTTGATGGAGTGACCTGCAGGTGTACTTCGAAGACTGCTACTGGAACTAATAGACGAGTGGAGCTAGGTGTGCCGAGTTTGGGCTCGTTTTGTTAGTTATGTTGAGACCTTACCTCCGGACTTGATGGAGTGACCTGCAGGTGTACTTCGAAGACTGCTACTGGAACTAATAGACGAGTGGAGCTAGGTGTGCCGAGTTTGGGCTCGTTTTGTTAGTTATGTTGAGACCTTACCTCCGGACTTGATGGAGTGACCTGCAGGTGTACTTCGAAGACTGCTACTGGAACTAATAGACGAGTGGAGCTGGGTGTGCCGAGTTTGGGCTCGTTTTGTTAGTTATGTTGAGACCTTACCTCCGGACTTGATGGAGTGACCTGCAGGTGTACTTCGAAGACTGCTACTGGAACTAATAGACGAGTGGAGCTAGGTGTGCCGAGTTTGGGCTCGTTTTGTTAGTTATGTTGAGACCTTACCTCCGGACTTGATGGAGTGACCTGCAGGTGTACTTCGAAGACTGCTACTGGAACTAATAGACGAGTGGAGCTAGGTGTGCCGAGTTTGGGCTCGTTTTGTTAGTTATGTTGAGACCTTACCTCCGGACTTGATGGAGTGACCTGCAGGTGTACTTCGAAGACTGCTACTGGAACTAATAGACGAGTGGAGCTAGGTGTGCCGAGTTTGGGCTCGTTTTGTTAGTTATGTTGAGACCTTACCTCCGGACTTGATGGAGTGACCTGCAGGTGTACTTCGAAGACTGCTACTGGAACTAATAGACGAGTGGAGCTAGGTGTGCCGAGTTTGGGCTCGTTTTGTTAGTTATGTTGAGACCTTACCTCCGGACTTGATGGAGTGACCTGCAGGTGTACTTCGAAGACTGCTACTGGAACTAATAGACGAGTGGAGCTAGGTGTGCCGAGTTTGGGCTCGTTTTGTTAGTTATGTTGAGACCTTACCTCCGGACTTGATGGAGTGACCTGCAGGTGTACTTCGAAGACTGCTACTGGAACTAATAGACGAGTGGAGCTAGGTGTGCCGAGTTTGGGCTCGTTTTGTTAGTTATGTTTTTTTTTTAAATATTACATTTCTTATTCTCCACGGACTCTTGTCCGTGCCCTTGTCATTCCATTACATTTTCTTTTAATTTACACTCAAAATTAATTGTTACAAAAATCTTACGTGCTACATTAACCACATTTTTTTTTTTTCACAAAGAAGGTTGTGTCTAATATCTATATATACACAATACATGTTTTATTACATTTACATTAACCTTACTGAATCGGCCCACACGCGCGATGAGCGAGCCGACCTGCTCCAGCAGAAGGCGCCCGTTCACGAGCATGACGTGAGGGCCAGCAATCGGTCCGATCAACCATTTCGTAGGGAACGGAGCGACCCAGTCCACAGCGCCACCGACTGTAGAATTTAAGAATGCATGACGTTGCTCACGCAGCAGTAAGCCGACTCCAGTAGTGCCAATGTATTTTGTCAGTCTTATTGATAAAATTTACATTACGTTACATTTATTTAAACATTTTAACATTATTAAACACACACAAATATAATTAATGTCACGCTTGCATCACAATTCAAGCTTACAGCGAGCCCTCCCCACCCAAAAGAGCGCCCACTACCGCCATGTCCCTGTTGCTGATAGCCATTTTTAAGTTATAGTCCAGGATCCCCCGCTCACTCTCACCCACCGCTCGTCTGATTAATTTGCTGATCGCGTCGTCACTGATATTCGTGTAGTAAACACAGCTGTTAGTGTGACGGGATATAGCTACCACGGCGTGCGATACACTGTCGTGTATCCGCTGTTTCTTCTCCGCTGTATTCACAACAACCACTGCCGCGTACGAAAGCCCCTGAGCCTCGTGTATTGTGAGTACGCGTGATCCCACACCCGATCCGTATCCCTGGTTTTTAAGGGATTCCTTTTCTACCTGAGTGTGTACCAGGTATAACGTGTTCGGAGGAGATTTGGGTATTCGCGACCCTGAGAAGCTTTTTAACTCAAGGGATCTCACACCCGACGCGGACGAATATATGCCACTGTACACAGTACTAAGAGCATATGCCACATCCATAGGGTTTCTGTGAGTGCAGAGAAGTTCTTGGCTAATAGCCACGACGTGTGTAGGGCGGTTGTAAATGAGGGGGAAGAGGTTGTCTCGGTCAATGAAGGGAAGTTGATTTATGTCACCAATCAGCAGAACTTCTTTGGCCCGAGTTATTCGGGCCGCCATCACAATGGCCCCAAAGTGATTCATGAGAGCCTCATCAACCATGATTCGGTGGCAGCTCTCTTGCTCTTTTAATCCGTTCACTAAAATGGATGCCATTGTTCGGACTTTGGATTTGACTAATCCTCCGATTCGGCAGGATAGTTTGCCTCTGAGGTCATTTGCTGCTTCAGTTGTTGTGGTGACGATTAAATCTCTTTCCGCTTCGAATTTGTTTATTATCCATGTAGTTTTGCCGCATCCCGGCACTCCATTTGTCCAGTGAAATGTCGGGGCATCCCAGCCCCCAAAGTCCACGCCGCCCGGCCCAGGCTCCGAAATGGATCCCACCATTTCCAAGATCCGATCCTCCAACATGATCCTGGTGCACCCGGCAACTACCACTAAGGAGTCTTCAGGAGGAGTTTTAAATTTCACAACTCCCCGTTTATCCGATTCCTTCTCATCCAGAGACACAAATCCTGCGGTGGCGTTGTAAGCTGCCATACTACGACTTATAGAAGCTCCTCTCAATACTCTCGATTTACTGTTGTCGTATATGACCGCCTCCGCAGCCTCGAGTCTATCATTCAGTAACAGCTCGTTACCCTGCAGATATGTCTGCAGGATCGTTTTGCAAGTTCGCAAGTTAACTTGTTTTGTTGCCTCTATTACTGCGACAAACTCGAGGAAGGCGTTTATGAGGTGGTCTCTGGAGTGGTGGCATGGCGAAACTTCGGCGGAGAGACGTGACCCATGGCGGCTGGGTTGGCGGTGACCTGGACTGGGCAGGATGCACCCGAGCACTGTCGCCTCCCCCGCGAGTGGAGCCGGATTCACTCCTTCTGAAAGTCGACGAAATGAGACCCGCAGCTGTACATATGGCTGATGTTATTGCCCACATGTTGGTCCGTGAATTTTGTTTTTTATTTGTCTTTCGGTGTTTCGTTGTTGTTGCTGTAGAGCACTTTGTTCCGAATACCTGTGCTGCAGACGCTCCGAACCACTTGAAGAGCCAGCGATTGGTGAACTCTGGACCTTTTTTCTGAGGAAACTAAGGTCTTCACCCCTGTCCTCATAAACAATGACTTCATGCTGTTCTGAAGCTTGAATACAGCCCATGAGATCCGCTGTCTCTCCCCGCCGGAAAGCCACCACAGCAGCATCCACGCTGATAACTCTAGATCTAT